GGGGCACCTGGGTGGCTCAGTCATTGAGGGTCTGCCTTCAGCTCAGGTCGTGATCCCAGGGTCCTGGGATCGAGCCCCGCATCGGGCTCCCTGCTCCGCGGGAGGCCTGCTTCTCCCCCTCCCACTCCCCCTGCTTGTGTTCCCTCTCTCGCTGTGTCTCTCTCTGTCAAATAAATAAATAAAATCTTTAAAAAAGAAAAGAAAACTGCAGAAATTCTCCAATCCTATTGTAACGTAAACAGAAGGGTGAGAGGTGCATAAGCAGGAAAAGCACGTTCCAACAAAATAATGAAGAAAAAACCATTAGTTATGCAGTACTCAGAAGTTCTCACTCTGCATAAACCGAAGTATATTATGATGAAAACAAAGCAGGCTCTGAGCTCTCAAAACCCAGATGCATGCAAAGGAGTAATGTAATCACCTATGAAAAGAGGCATTCAGCGGATGTGCTAGAGGCAGGAAAAAGCCAAATACATACTGGTTTTAGGAAAGGTCCTATAGAACCAGCCTGTGAAATGTTTCAGGTGGAAGAGTATGCACAATTTTTTTTTGTTTCTGGAGAGTGTAGAATCTTGACAGATTGTAGAATCTCTACAGACCTGCGTCCTTCCCTAGTCATTCCAGGTTGCTGTGCTCCTCTCCCCATTCTGGCTTTCTGCAGCAAGTACTCCCTAAATTCACGGAGGATTCTGTTGTATTACACTGTCCTCTAGTGGCGTCAAACAGTTCTCAGCTCCCCCCCCCCTTTTTTTTTTTTTAGAGAGAGAGAAAGAGAGGAGGGCAGAGGGAGAGGAAGAGAGAGAATCTCAAGCAGGTTTCACGCCCAGCACAGAGCCCGTCACGGGGCTCGATCTCACAACCCTAAAATCATGACCTGAGCCAAAGTCAAGACTCAGACACTTAACCGACTGAGCCACCCAGGCGCTCCAGCTCATCTCCCTTTTTTATTTTTTTTATTTTTATTTTTTTAAGATTTTATTTATTTATTTGACAGAGAGAGACACAGCGAGAGAGGGAACACAAGCAGGGGGGAGTGGGAGAGGGAGAAGCAGGCTTCCCGCCGAGCAGGGAGCCCCATGCAGGGCTCGATCCCAGGACTCTGGGATCATGACCTGAGCTGAAGGCAGACGCCTAACGACTGAGCCACCCAGGCCCCCAGTGAGTCATTTCTTAATAGGTTAATAGCCCATATTATTAGTTGTCATCTTTTTAAAAAAGATTTTATATATTTATTTGGGAGAGAGAGAGAGCACGGGAGCATGAGTGGGGGCAGGGGGAGAGGCAGAGGGAAAAGCAGACTCCCAGATGAGCAAGGAGCCGGATGAGGGGCTCGATCCCAGGACCCTGGGATCATGACCTGAGCCGAAGGCAGACGCTTAACCAACTGAGCCACCCAGGCGCCCCTCATCTCCCTTTTTTAAGGGCAGTATTTATCACAGGGCCACTCAGACATATGGTGTTTAACAAATGTCTGTTAAATGGACTGGAATGAATGGCAGAGACCCTAGGACGACCATGACTAGAAAACCTATTTCAGCTGCCATGAGAGAATGGGTACTCAGGTATTTTAGGCTCAGGTTACTTCGCCATCTTCGACTTTCCTTGAAAGTGGATAATGCAATGTAGTTTGCCTTTTGCCTCTCCTACAGGCTAAAGGAAGTCCAGTGTAACTTTTTTGGGTAGTATAGCCTGAGAAAGCAAAAATTCCAAAAATGAGAACTGCAAGTTCTCTATTGATAAGAACAAATACAGAGAGTTGAAGTGTTGACGTTGGTCTCTGTTCCAGAACATGGTGACTGCAAAAGCATTTCAAGTGAGCCTTCACATCTCAGTCATGTCTGAAATGTGAGCAGCTCACTTACTAAATAAGGAAACTAGGTAAGCTTATGGCTCATTAATCTTTCTTTTGCCTCGGCTTGGTATATTGTGTGTTTGGGTTTTGAATTTTTTATTTTTCCCTTATGTAGCCATTGAACAAGTGTTTATTGCTTCTCTTATGTGTAAGGCACCCTGATAATCATTCTGGGGGCGTGGTAGAGGGCGGGAGTGCCAATGGGACATACCCTTGTCTTCAAAGTGCTTACAGTGTGGAGAGAAACCAGAATTCACGCAGATTCTATACCAGCAGTGTTTCAAAGTGACCCAAGAGAGGGGAGCCTGGCTGGTTCAGTCGGTAGAGCATGCAACTCTTGATCTTGGGGTTGTGAGTTTGGGCCCCACGTTGGGTGTAGAGGTTACTTAAAAATAAATAAAATCTTTAAAAAAAAAACAAGTTCCCCAAGAGAGTGATGGAAAAGTAGTTTTAAGGAGTTCAAAGAAGGAAGAGGTCCTCTCTGAAATAATTTTCTTTGAATGTATGGCACCTGTCATTCCTGACTGAAGACCATTCAACAGCAAACAAACCACAGAGAATTAACAATGACTAAGAGCTGATACCATCTATCTAGAATGAAACTGTAACTAAGGACAAATGCCCCATTCCTGTTCTTCATATAATGAAAATACTACTCGATTTCAACTCAGAAAAAAATATTCACTCAGTAAATATTGGCTCTAAGATACCTTACCAGGTATAGGGAAAGAAAAAAATAAGATATTGACCCTGACCAGAAAGGATATATCATACAGTGGGGGAAAGTTGCTTAAAATTAGCAATCATGCAATGTATCAGAACTGAGAATTTGTGAACAACCCTCCAATTTAAGCTGAGCTATTTTTTGAAGTTTTATTAAAATAATTTATAGGGGCACCTAAGTGGCTCAGTGGGTTAAGTGTCTGCCTTTGGCTCAGGTCATGACCCCCGGGGTCCTGGGATCGAGCCCCATGTCTGGCTCCCTGCTCAGCCAGGAGTCTGCTTCTCCCTCTCCCTCTGCCTGCCGCTTCCCCTGCTTGTGCTCTCTCTCTGTCAAATAAATAAATAAAATAGTTTTTAAATAAATAAATAAATAAAAATAATTTTTAAATACCTGGGTGTTAGTACTGGGTTTATGGGATTTTTTTTAATCTCTTTTTTTGCTGGAAGAAAATATTGGAAAACATTTGTTGACAAAGGAATGGTATTTGCAAAACATAAACAACTCCTACAATCCAGTTTAAAAATACAAATCACCCAACCAAAAATTGGGTGAAATACTCAGACACTTCTCAAAAGAAGACAGAGAATAGCCAATAAGCATGTGGAAAAAGTGCTCAACTTTTTACTAGTCATCAGGGAAATGTAAATTAAATGAAATATCACCAAACACCTATCAGAATGGCCCAACACCAAATGTGGTGTAGGAAGAGCAATCAAAACTCTCATACAAGGTTGGTAGGCTTGTAAAATAAAACAACTACTTTGGAACACAGTTTGGCATGTTTTTATAAACTTAAAACATATACCTACTCCTAGATACTTACCTGAGAAAAAAAGAAAACACCTGTCTACACAAAGACTTGCCCAAAAATATTTATAGCAGCTTAATTCATAATACCCCAAAACTGGAACAACCCAGGTGTCCACCAGTAAGAAAACAAATAAACTGTGTTATTTCTTACACTGAACACACAGTAACAAAACACACAACCACAAAAAATTATAAATCACTGCTATATACAGCAACACGGATGAATCTCAAAAATATTATGTTGAGCAGAAGTCTTACTCAAAAAAAGAACTCATTGTAGGATTCCATTTATATGAAGTTCTAGAACAGGCAGATCTAATCTATGGTGGAATAAAAATAAAAATAGATGTTTCCTCTGTTGGGTGGAGATGGAGATAGATTGAGAAGGATATGAAGGAATTTTGTGGGGTAATGGTAATATTCCACATCTTGAACAGGGGTTTGAGTTACAAAAATAGATGTATTTGTCAAAACTCAGCAAATGTATACTTAAAATGTGTGTATTTCATTATACAAAAATTTTAAATCAAAGAAAAAAATCTGTACACAAATACTGAACTATAATACAGTGCTCAGTATTGTAAACAAATACTGAACTATATATAATAATAATATACATGCTGAAGTATATTTAGAGGAAGTGTATTAGTAACCACACTTGACTTTGAAATGCATCAAAAAATATAATGGAACAGAGCACCTGGGTGGCCCAGTCAGTTGTAGAGCTGGACTCTTGATTTCAGCTCTGGTCACGATCTCAGGGTCGTGAGATTGAGCCCCAAGTGGGCTCAATCCCCTGCTTAAGATTCTCTCTCTCCCTTTCCCTCTGCACCTCCCCCACTCGAGCACACTTTAAAAACATATATATAAATATATATATCAGTATTGTTGCCAGGTGAACTGGGGAGACCCTGGGACCTCGACCCAGCCAGACCCGAAGGAGTCCCCGAAGGTTCTTGGTCTTGTCACAAGAATGAATTCAAGGACAGACATGCAACAGAGCAGATAAGGGACACATGTGGGTAAGTTTATTAAAGCGAAAAGTACACTCCAGAGATAGGAAAGTGAACAAGGTCCAGAGAGACAGCTGAGTGCCCTGGGGTTGGATTTCTTTTATTGACAGTTGTTAACTAGGGGGTAGAATATTCATTACTTGAGATGGGAAGCAGGGTTTTGGGCTTTTCCTTCCTAACTTGGTCAGGGGTTCCAGTCATGGCATCAGCTATTGGAGGCCTGACTGGTTTGACCCGGCTTCTTGCAGCACGTGCTGCCATGACAGTCTCTGAGTTTCCAGAGAGCTAGCCAGGACTTCCTCATTGCTGACCTCCAGGTATCCTGTTAGAACAAAACTGCCTACTTGAACAGTAAGAGAAAAGATAATTCCTTTAAAAGAAAAACTAAATCAGAAAACAATTCCCATATTCTTGAAAATAAGAGAGAAAAACCGAGAAACATATCAGCAGATGTTAAAACTTAATGGTTAAAAAAAGTTTTATTTAAAATGGCAATGATATACAATTTTTTTAACCATAACATTGCCCAAATCTTTGCCTTTTTATTTTATTTTATTTTACTTTGAGGGTATCCAAACATACATTCGTAATTTTTAAATACCTTTATAAAGAGGTGCCTGGGTGGCTCAGTCCTTAAGTGTCTGCCTTCGGCTAAGGTCATGATCCCAGGGTCCTAGGATCGAGCTCCACATCGGGCTCCCTGCTCTGCCGGAAGCCTGCTTCTCCCTCTTCCACTCCCCCTGCTTGTGTTCCCGCTCTCGCTGTGTCTCTCTCTGTCAAATAAATAAATAATTTAAAAAATAAAAAAATTAAAATACCTTTATAAAGATTTAATTCATGTACCATCCAATGTGCCTATTGAAAGCATACAATTAAATGGTTTTTAGTATATTCACAGAGTTGTACTACCATCACCACCAATTTTAGAACATTTTTATTGCACCCAAAAGAAACACCACTCATCAGCCATCACTCCCCAACCTTAGGCAATCATTAGCCTACCTTATATATAGTTTTGCCTATTATGGACATTACATATAAATGGAATCATACAATATGTGCTCTTCTATGATTGACTTCTCTCACTTAACACGTTTTCAAGGTTCATCCATGTTGTAGCATCTACGCAAGATTCTTATCAGATATATGGTTGCAAATATTTTTTCCTCCTATTCTGTGAATTATCTTTTCACTTTCTTGATGGTGTCCTTTAAAGCACAAAATATTTAATTCTGATGAAATCTAATTTATCTTTTTCTTTTGTGGGTTGTGCTTTTGATGTAATAGCTAAGAAATCATTACCTAATCCAAGGTCACAAAGATCTACACCTATATTTTATTCTGACTTTATAGTTTTAGCTCTCAAATTTAGATCTTTAAATATTTGGAGTTAATTTTTGCCTGTAGTGTGAGGTAGGGATTCAAATTTATTCTTTTGTATATGAATATCTAGTTGTCCCAACACCATTTATTGTATAGATTATTCATTCTCCACTGAATTATCTTGGCACCCTTGTTCATAATCAATTGAGTGTAAGTATGAGGGTTTCCTCCTAGACTCTCAATTCTACTTCACTGATTTATATATCTATTCTCATGCCAGTGCCACACAATTTTTATTACTGTATCTTTGTAGTAAGTTTGGAAATTGGGAATTGTGAGTCCTCCAACATTTTTCTTTTTCAATATTATTTTGGCTAGTTGAGGTCCCTTGAATTTCCATGTAAATTTTAAGATCAGCTTGTCAATTTCTGCAAAAATCCAGTTAGGATTTTTACAGGGATTGCATTGAACCTGTAAATCAATTTGGGGGATATGGCCACTTCAATTATATTAAATATGAACATGGACACCTTCCCATTTATTTAGGTTTTCTGTAATTGCTTTCAACATGTTTCACAGTTTTCAAAACATATCTTTTATATCTCCTATGGTCAAATTTATTCCTAAGTATTTTATTCTTTTGATGCTATTGAAAATGGAATTGTTTTCCTAATTTCATCTTTGGATTGTTCATTACAAATGCATAGAAATGAAATTTATTTTTGTATATTGATCTAGTACCCTGTAGCCTTGCTCAATTTGTTTATTTCTACCAATTTTTTTAGTAGATTCCTCATATTTTCTGTATATAAGATGTCATCTGCAAATAGAGGTAGTTTTACTTCTTTCTTTCCAATCTGAATACCTGTTTTCCCATACCCTTGATGATAGTGTGCTATGAATTTTTCTAATTAACTGCTAAATAATATTATTTTCCTTTTTTTAAGATTTTATTTATTTATTTGTCAGAGAGAGAGAGCACAAGCAGGGGGAGCACCAGGCAGAGGGAGAAGCAGGCTCCTCACTGAGCAAGGAGCCTGATGCAGGACTCAATCCCAAGACCCTGGGACCGAAGGCAGACGCTTAACCAACTGAGCCACCCAGGAGTCCCAATAATATTATCTTCATGGGAAGATGTGGCAGGAATTATGAAGGGACTAAGATTTTACCCTGCTTCCAAACTCACAATTAGCCTGCCAGTTTCCTGGAAGCTGGCAGAAGTCTAACCAAGACTCCTGGGTCAGAGACAAAGGACTTTGTTAATCACGCAGGCTGCATGAACCTCATGTTTGCATCACTCCGTCTTGCCACCTCCACCTCCAAATCCCATGGGAGTGATGCCGGACAGCCTAGGTAGATGCTAAGCATGCAACTGAGAGTGTAGGAAACTCCAATCTTTTAAAGAGTCTGCTAGCAAACCTCCCCAACCTTTGTCTTAGAGTGGGACGTTATCCTTATTATCCTGATCAGCAAACAAATCTTCCCCCTGCACCCCCTCCCCCCTGTTTGCTATACAAACAGCCTTGAAAATACAGTCCGTAACAAAGGCTGTCGATGTCTCTGCTGGGAAGACATGCAGAAACAGAAAAGACCTACCGAAATCTGTCTCTAAACAAGATTCTTTTCAGTTTGTTTTCCCCAAAGGGTGTTGCTACCAGTTCAGTTTCTAATCAGTTTGAGAAGAAGGATAATACTGTATTTTCCTCCACTCTAGAATATAATTGGTACTGGCACATGATAGGCATTCAATAAATACTTCCTTTTTGACTACTGAGTGGATGAATGGATAAATGGAAGGATCGATTCCTGAAACACTTGAGGCATAATTACAATGAAACTTCAAGATCCACAATAAAATTCTGATCTGCTAGTTCAAAATGTGTAAATGTGAACTATCTCTCTTCATCTCCTCATCTGCATCCTCCTCATCATACCAGTACATAGTGTTTTTTATTTTTAACTGCTCACATTTAATGACTGCTAAAAACATTACACAGAGTCCCTAATGCAAAGAACTCAAATCCTTAAAACTCCCAACTGCTTCCCTGTAGAGCTTTGCAGTTGTTGTATGAAGCCCAAGATCTCTGAGAATTCCAGAGCACTCAAACCCCCAATCTTCTTCCTGCCTGGTCAGGACAGATGAGGAATTATTGAACATTGCCTCACTTTCCTTTTCTGATTTCAAATAGAAGATACGAGTATGTCTGGCATCAGATGAGGTCATCTTATGAGTTTGGGGTTGCTTTCTCCACTAAGGCACAACATATTATGTGTTGGTTTCGAAGAGCATTGTTACTGCTCCTTGGTCTGAAATAAAATGCACTTACAAAATCTATGTGCAGCTTATTGTTAGTTGAGGTTTGGTACCATATCACGGGTACCATTCAGTGTTCTTAATTGCAAACAACCACCTCTGCTCTGCCTAGTTCATGCAGGAATTTATTAAGGAACATCGGGTAATTCACAGAACCTCTCGGAGGACCAGAGAGCCAGGCTCTGCCTCTACGGCAACCGGGAGCAAGGCCCAGCCACACCACGAAGGCCACTCCGCCAAAAGCACCACCGCCACTGTCGCTAGGCACCAGTGACCTTTAGGAATGGACACCAGAAGCTCTGCTGTTGCTACTTCCAAAGTGCCGGATGCCTCCTCCGGAGAGGAAAAAGGAGCATCCCCACTTGCTGCTTTCTCAGCTGAAGTCACACCTGGAGATGTCTGACTGGTGAAACCCAGGTCCTATGCCAGAACCCTAGCTGCAAGGAAGTCTAGGAAAGGGAGTTTTCTGGTTTCAACCTTGGGAAGGGAGAACACAGCATGTGGAAAATAACCAAAATATATGTAGCCTTGTAGTGGATACTGTCAGTAAGGCTTCTGCTCATATGGCCTTGGATCCCTTTGCCATTTTTACACATGTCAGCAGCACTCCTAACAACCAGCACCTTCCTCTCTTTGGTCAGAGAACTGCTCCCAAAATATTCCAATTCCTTTGTGTTATGGCCCGAATGTTTGTGTTCCCCCAAGATTCATAGGTTGAAATGCCAACCCCCAAGGTGATGATCTTAAGAGGTGGGTCTTAGGAAGGTTATTAGGTTACTAGGCTCTGCCCTCATGATTCAGATTAGTGCCTCTACAAAAAAAGACCACACAGAGCTAGCTCACCTCTTCCCCCAAGTGAGGAAACACAAAAGGTAACACCAGGAAGTGGGTCTTCACTAGGTACTAACTCTACCAGCACCTTGATCTTGGACTTCTCCGCCTCCGGAACTGGGAGAAAAAAATGTGTGTTGTTTATAAGCCACCCATTTTATGTTATTTTTGTTATAGCAGCCCAAATGTGCTAAGACAGCTCACCCCCCAATCAGGACCCTCGGGGAGCTGTGATCCTCACAGTATCTGAGCTCCCCAGTGGGACTTTGCCGGATATCACATCCTTGCTTGTCCTTCTTTCCTGTTCTACTTCCCACTCTCCTGTTTTTCCTGGGAACATTTACAACACTGGTTACAATCCTGGTTCTCTTAGAACACTGGAGTCAGTTGTCACTTATGCACTCAGGAAGAAAGTGGCAAAACAGCTGACAATGACGTGCACTTTGCCCATTATTATATAATGGACAATTTACTTAACCTTTTTGGGGTTGAACTCTGTCACAGAAAATAATGCCAACCTTGAAAGGTCTTCTAAAAATTAAATGAAATAAGAGATGTCCTGGTACTTAGTAGAGCCCCTCCAAAAAGGTATTTCCCTTTCTTGCTCCTTCCAGCTGACTGAAAGTTAAATTGAGAGAAAATGTTTCATTTCCATATTTGTCACTCTGTGTGAATGAGTCAAATCCATATTAAAAAATAAACACTGGGGGTGCCTGGGTGGCTCAGCTGGTTAAGCGACTGCCTTCGGTTCAGGTCACGATCCTGGAGTCCCGGGATCGAGTCCCGCACCGGGCTCCCCGCTCAGCAGGGAATCTGCTTCTCCCTCTGACCCTCCCCCTTCTCATGCTCTCTCTCTCTCTCTCAAATAAATAAATAAATCTTTAAAATAAATTAATTAATTAATTTTAAAAAAAACCTGGGATGGAGGGGCACCTGATGGCTCAGTCAGTTGAGTGTCCAACTCTTGATTTTGACTCAGGTCCTGATCTCAAGGTTATGGAATTGAGCCCCACATCGAGTTCTGTGCTCAGTGCGGAGTCTGCTTGAATTCTCTCTCTCTCCCTCTTCCTCTGCCCCTCCCAGCTACTCACACTCTCTCTCTAAATAAAGAAATAAATAAAATCTTAAAAAAAAAACTGGGATGGAGGAGAAGTCTCAGCCAGCCCAGGCTAGCATGAGCCTTCCTGCCGAAGAAGAGACGGCCCACATGGTCAGGAGATTGGTTACATACAAAAAGACTGAGAAAATAAGTGAATATATTGAGAATAATGGGAGCCATGTTTCTCATTCCCAGGGAAGAGAGGTACAAATATAGAAGGGGGAAAGTCTAGATAAAACATCTAAGATTGAATTGTAATTGGAGATACCAGTGTGAATTCCTGGTTGATCCCAGTTTGTCTTAAGAGTAATAGAAAGCCACTGGGAGACTGCAGGGTGAAGTACAGGGAGGTAAGCAGTTCATTATAAGATGTGCATTTAGAAGGGTCCCTGGGTGGCTCAGCTGGTGAAGCTCCAACTCTTGATCTCAGCTCAGGTCTTGACCTCAAGATCGTAAATTTAAGCCCCACATTGGGCTCCACACTGTGCATGGAGCTTACTTTAAAAAAAAATTGCATTTGGAAAATGTTACAATTATGTGGCAAAATGTGAAAAACAGACTGGAGAATGGAAAGAGCAAACTTGCAAAACTAGTAAGGGGTTAGTGGCTAAAGCAAAAGTTGATGGTAGCCTAGACTTGATGATGGTGATAGAGATGGAAAAATTTGGATTGACTGAAGAAATATTGAGAAGGTAAAAAATGACATGATTTGGTGATGGGGAGGTGTATAAGATGATAGCTAGGTTTTTGGTTTGCTAACAAATGGTGTCATCCACTGAGGTAGGAAACATTAGAAGAGAATTAGGTTTAAGGGAAAGATCATGCATTGACTTTTAAACATAAAGAACTTGAGCTTCCTTTGAGAAAACAAAATGTCGAGTTCTGGAAACCAAGGAAGGGAATGTTTCAAGAAAGAGAGAGAGGGGCTCCTGGGTGGGTCAGTCGGTTAGGTGTCCAACTGTTGATTTCTGCTCAGGTCATGATCTCAGGGTCATGGGATGAAGCCCAGTGTCGGGCTTCGCGCAGAGCAGGGAGTCTGCTTGAGATTCTCACTCTCCTTCTCCCCTTCCTGCACACTCTCGAAGAAGGAGGAGGAGGAGGAGGAGGAGGAGAAAGATCAACTATGTTGAAAGCTTTAGAGAGATGAGGTATTAAATGGCTGAAAAATATCCATGAGAGAGCTGCTTCAGAGGACAGATGGATGGAGACGCCAAGGCTGGAATGGGTTGAGAAGTGAGTAGGTGAAAAGAATATAGAGGCTCTTCTCCTTCCACTACAAAAACAGTTGCAGGAAATGTACTTACATTGGCCTAAAAGAAAAGCACCATAATTCTAACCAAATCAGAAATATCAAGTGTGTTCAAGCTCCATTTGGGATGAATTTCAATTTACACGTGTCACGTTACCTAGTCTTCTGGGCTCCAAAAGAATGGAACTTGCTCTAGAAAACACAACACACAATAGTTACTCATTACCACTACCATTCTGATTTGAAAATAAGAATTCTACGCCCCCCAAAAAAATTACTACGAAAAAGTCACTCAGAGTCACCTTAGCCTTCAAAGGTCATGCCTTCCTCTGTGTTCTACACATAGGATGTGTTGTCTCACAATGCTTTTCTCCCATATCCAAAACCTTATCCAAATTTCAGATCGGGGTCTATCAGTGAGTCATATCACACCTTATTTGGAAAACCTTAGCATTTATGCCTTTAACCTATAATGTTGCCAACCAGGCCTTGCTCTCAAATTAATAAATATTTTCACAATAGACTATGAAGCTCCATCAGGCACAGTGATTTCTCAATCTTTCATATGTTACTAAGACTTTTTACGTATATCAAATTAAGTAGAGTATTGTAAAGTGCTCCAAACCCCATTTCCATCTCTTGGTCTTCAATTTCCCTATGAGTAATAATAGCTAACATTCATTGATTACTGTGTGCCATTCACTATTCTAGACATTTTTCACATAACACAAATAATCCTCCCAACAACCCTGTAATATACATATTTCTATTCCCATTTTACCAATAAAAAAATTGAGGTACAGAAAGTCCAAGTGACACAATTATTAAGTAACAGAGTTGGGATTCACACAAATACAGACAAGAGAGCCCACATTCCTAAATTTTTAGCAACAGAAAAATAACTCTAATAAGGCCTGGTCCTACCTGGCCAAGTTTTACTGATGTACCAGGATTAAGTAGCATAGTTTAGCAGCCGGATTTTTTTTAAGATACTCTATTCCATCGAATCACACGTTGTCCATTTTCTATACCCTCTTCCGCGGTGCTACAAGAACCCGCTGTATTCCTGACGGCCCTGAGGTGGCGCTGCAGGGACAGGTAAGGGCACAGGCAGCGTCACTGGGAGGGGCTGATCCGGAGCGAGGCTGCGATCCGTCGCCCCGTGGTAGGCGGAACCTAGGGAAGGGCAAAAGAAAGCGAGCGTTCTGTTGTGCGCAGGCGCAGGGCTGGGCACTCCCCCGGGAGTGAGGGCTGCTGGGCCCGATGACGTGGCCTGGCAACGTCTGCGCCGGTGCGCCTCTGGGGACCCCGGCGCCGCCGGAACTGCCCGCGGCCTAGTCCCGACGCGCGTGTGCTTGTGAGCCGGAGCCGGGGACAGCGGCGGCGGCCGAGCCTGCGGGGACCCGACGGGGCCGCTGCCATGGGGGAGTGACGCGCCTGCGCCCGCTGTTCCGCGGCAGCGGCGAGACATGAGGACACCCCGCGGCGGGGGCAGCGGCTGCGGCTCGTGAGCCCCGGGATGGAGGAGAAATACGGCGGGGACGTGCTAGCCGGCCCCGGCGGCGGCGGCGGCGGCGGCGGCCTCGGGCCGGTGGACGTGCCCAGCGCTCGGTAAGTGACGGACGCGGCTCGCGCCACCGGAGCGCCTCTCTCCCGCGCCTGCGCTCGCCGGCTCGCTCACTCGCGGACCCGGACGGCAGCTGCCCCCCGGACGCGCGCGGGCACCGGCGTCCCTCCCGTCCCGCTGACAGCCTGGAACGGCCTCAGCCCAGCCCGCGTCCCACAGCGGTCCGTCCTGTCCCTGTGCCTCCTGCGCCTTTCATTGGCTCCCCTGTTGCCCGCTGCAGAATGAATGCTCTAAAGCCCAGGGCGGTTCTGCTGGAGTCTGGCGTCCGAGGCATACCGTTAACCTTCCCTCTGCCAGCCGGTTTGCGGGAGGGGTTTTTCTGCTCTGTGACAACCATTTCCGTTGGCTCTTTCTCCCTGAAATAGTAGTTTAGTGACTACTAAACCTTTCTGACGTCTCGCTGCGTAAGTTAGGGGAAGGTGTCACCATCTAAAGGCGAACAAACCAAAGTACAAACGGATGAACTTCGACATTCAGGTTAACCCCGCACATCAAAAATTCAGCCCGTCCAAAAAAAAAAAAAAAAAATTCAGCCCGTCATCTAGCTTTCTTTATTTTCCTTGGCTTATTTTATTTTATTGTTAAATGAGAAATGTGTGCTCGTTGTTTAAAAAAAAAAAAAAAACTCAAATACTACAAAAATTCAGAGAATAAAAAGCGAAAATTCCTCTTTACCCCCCCCCGCCATGTTCCCACTAACCTCCCAAGAAGTAAGTATAGTAACTACTCTCGAGTGTGTCCTTGATCTATCTTAAGTTCTGAGGTAGGGTCAAAGATGCATAAAATACGGCCCAACAATTTTGTTGGAATTTGGTATTGTCTTCATTTTTAATGAGGTTCAGTTTTTTCGTTCTTGAACACTTTTTTTGAGATTTAAAGATTGTTTTGATAAATTATTTGGAACTGTAGAAATAGCGTTGCTGATATAAAAGGAAAGGACATTTAAAATGCTGGAACAGAACTTAAGTCAGCTGCATTTTTGTAGTTTAAGTTTAATTTTCTAATCTCTTTGAAATAACAGCATATCACATATTATTTACTGAGCTATGACAAGTAAATGCAATAGGGGATTCTGGTCTAGATTTTGGTAGTAGAGGGGAAAAAATGCTATAAAGGACAATAATAGGGGGCGCATGGGTGGCTCAGTTGGTTAAGCGACTGCTTTCGGCTCAGGTCATGATCCTGGAGTCCCGGGATCGAGTCCCGCATCGGGCTCCCTGCTCGGCAGGGAGTCTGCTTCTCCCTCTGACCCTCCCCCCTCTCATGTGCTCTCTCTCTCTCATTCTCTCTGTCTCAAATAAATAAATAAAATCTTTAAAAAAAAAAAAGGACAATAATAGGTCTGTTAACAAAACTGGACTATGGGTGATAAAGTATAACCATGTTAAATTTTCTGAAGTTGATAACTTACCTGATTTTATAAGAAAATGTACATATTCTTAGGAAATCAAGTATTTAGAAGTGTGATATAAGTAACTTATTCCTAGTTGAGAAAAAGCCTGTATTTAGAGAGAGAGAGATAATAAAGCAAATGGGACAGTTAACAATAAGGGAATCCAGGAAAAGGGTATACTCTTCTTGCCACTTTTAGGTAAACTGGAAATTATTTTTAAACAAATAAAGTTACTATTTATTCAAGGTAGATGTGTCAAACAGTCTTTTGCTATCCTGTTGTAGTATTTGCTTAGCAGAACTGCCCTTCTATTGTAGTTCATTGCAAAATCAAATTCAACTCAGGAGTGGTTGAATTTTTAATAGATTCCAAGTTGCAAGAATTTTCCTTTGTGTAGACTAATAATTAAATACTAGTTATAATCTGCAACAAAAGCTAGTTCAAAAATCCTTTAATTGTGGATATTTTTGTGGCTGAATTCACAAAAAAGGAATTGTTTTAAATGTTTCTGTCTTCTGTAAGGCCTCTTTGCAAGAAAGAGGGTGACAGTCAGCATTTGTTGAATACCTGTGTTCCATGTCCTTTGAGTATAGCATCTCACTTAATCCCTACAACAGTGCTATAGACTACATAGCACATCCTTGTTTCACAGATCAAGAAACTGAGACCTAGAAAAAAGTTTAGGGGCGCCTCAGTGGCTCAGTCGTTAAGTGTCTGCCTTCGGCTCAGGTCATGATCCCAGAGTCATGGGATTGAGCCCCACATCAGGCTCCCTGCTCCACGGGAAGCCTGCTTCTCCCTCTCCCACTCCCCCTGCGTGTGTTCCCTCTCTCGCTGTCTCTCTGTCAAATAAATAAATAAAATCTTTTAAAAAAAAGAAAAAGAAAAAAGTTTATTTTCCCAACTAATAACTGAACTGAGAGTCAGTTATCCTAAACCACATGGATTTCACACACTGATTGTGTTTTTTGTTTACTGGAGAACCATGAACTGCTGCAGTGGACAAAGCTAAGAAGCACATTTAAACCCAAACCGAAATTTTGGTAATTCCAAGTTTAGAGAACCAGAGATTTTTACATAAAAGACCAGTGATAACGTTTGATGAAACTAGTTGATGGCAAATAATGATTTATCAGTTGGGTAGGTGGAATATATCCCCAAGTCTCCCAGAGTCAGTGAGTGACTCAGGGGCCACTGCCCCTGTTGAAGAGCCTTTCTCTCCTAACCTCCCCCTTTCCTTCTTAGTAAATGAAGCTGTTCAGTTTCCCTGCACAATATGAGCTACAAATATCTACTTATTAGTATATGGTTATTTAGCCTTAGTTAGTGTTTCATCTGTAGCCCAAGAGGAAGACTTCACTAATGAGGCTTTAAAAATCAGAGTCCAGGAATGCCTGGTTGGCTCAGTTGGTTAAGCGAGTCTGCCTTTGGCTCAGGTCATGATCTCAGGGTCCTGGGATTGAGCCCGCATCAGGCTCCCTGCTCAGCTGAGAGCCTGCTTCTCCCTCTCCCAGTGCTGCTCCCCGTGCTTGTGCTTTCTCTGTCTGTCTCTCAAATAAATAAAATCTTTAAAAAAGAAAGATTAATGTTTTATAAATAAAAAATCAGAGTCCAACTTTTAACTAAATGTTAAAATAATTTTCCTGATTTAATAATGGTAGCAAAAATCTTGAACATATATTACATGAAAAGTCACTATCAAAATATGTGTATAATTGTAAATATGTGAATATATGAAATATGCATGTGTCCTTACATGAAGATGCAAAGGAAAAGATTTGCAAGGATGACCACTTGATCACCTATGAGGAACTTAGAAATGATTTTATCTAAAACTTTAATAACAAGCAGCTATTCAGGAATTACTTTTATAATCTCTATTTTAAAAATTAAAAAAGGAATAAAGAAAATTAGTGTCAGAAAGATCATAATAGTAATATGTTATTAAGAAATATTTTACTTAGGGGTGCCGGGGTGGCAAATCAGTTGAGTGTCCGACTCTTGGTTTCAGCTCAGGTAGTGATCTCAGGGTCGTGAGAACACTCAGCATGTCGGGTTCCGGGCGCAGTGTGGTGTCTGAGAGTCTCCCTCTGCCTCTCCCGCTCGTGTGCTCTCTCTCTAAAGTAAATAAATCTTTTTTTAAAAAGATAAGTATTTTACTTAAATTAATGTTCCTTATGACTAAATCTTGCCTTTGAAGTGCCAAATTTTTCAAGTTTTATTAATACTTCAAACGGAAAGTACTTAGAAATTGGGCGCCTGGGTGGCTCAGTCGTTAAGCGTCTGCCTTTGGCTCTGGTCACGATCCCAGGGTCCTGGGATCGAGCCCCGCATCGGGCTCCCAGCTCAGCGGGGAGCCTGCTTCTCTTCCTGCTTGCGTGCACTCTCTCTCTCTCTGTCAAATAAATAAATAAAATCTTAAAAAAAAAAAAAGAATTTCACATATTGTCCAATCTTGTTAAAACAAGTATATTAAATATAATTTACCGATGGGTTAGCCTGGTGATGGATATTAAAGAAGGCACGTTCTGCATGGAGCACTGGGTGTTATAAGCAAACAATGAATCATGGAACACTACATCAAAAACTAATGGTGTAATGTATGGTGATTAACATAACATTAAAAAAAAAGAACAAAAAAATATATATATATATAATTTACCTTTTCCTTGATGACCTCTTATCATTCTATCATCTGGATAACTGAGTTTAAATACAGTCATTTATTCAAAGGCTTGTTCCTAGTACTAGTATTTTGCATATGCTGCTCTCTGCTTTGAAATACACTTTCGGGTTTCTTACTTTGTGATTCCTGCTTAGTCTTTATTTTTATTTTTTTAAGTACGCTCCACACCCAGCATGGAGCCCAATGTGTGACTTGAACTCATGACCCTGAGGTCGAGACCTGAGCTGAGATTAAGTGTCGGATGCTTCTGGCTCCCTGCTCGGCAGGGAGTCTGCTTCTCCCTCTGACCCTCCCCCCTCTCATGTGCTTGCTCTCTCTCATTCTCTCTCTCTCAAATAAATAAATAAAATCTTTAAAAAAAAAAAAAAAAGTGTCGGATGCTTAACCGACTGAGCCGCCCAGGTGCCCCAAATTCCTACTTAGTCTTTAATACACACTTAGACGTCTCGAGCTCTAATGACAGACCCCTGCTTACCAAGTTACAGTTAGTTGCTTCCACTATTCTTTTAAAACTCCATTACTTATTGGGTCACATAAATATTTGTTTGCTTGCCTGTCTTCCTTAGGCCTCAGACTCCTTATGGGCAGGGTCTCTATTACACATTAAGTGTCACAGATAGCACCTAGAAATATATTCAGTTGTAAGTAACCCAATGAAGAGAACTTTAAACAAATGAGATATTCTTCTCACATGAAAGAAACCAGACGTTGTAGGTATTTGCTCAGCACCTCAGTGATACCATCTAGGACCCAGATTCCTTGTCTTTGCTCTCTGCCATCCTAAGTGTATTGGCTTTCATATTCAGGCTTGTTTATAGGATGGATAACACTTTTAGATAATGTTAACATTTTGATAACATTTTTTAGATAAAGGTCCTCCCTTGAAGGCAGAAAGTATGTCCAACTGCATCTTCCCTTTTGATCAGGAAGAGGGAAGCGCACCCCTAGGTCTTACTGGCTGTGTATAGCATCTGGCACATAGTAAGTGTGCGAAGAATATTTGAAGAATGCCTAACTGGCCCCATGGAGGATATACAAGGCTCTTTGCTGACACTGAGAATTCCCAGACTGCTGTGATTTTTAATGTACTTCTCTTTTTCCTGGTCTTTATTTTTTCCCTCATCTTGACATTATTATTCTTTGTGTCCTTGCTTGTATCCTGCTGCTTTATTATTACACCTGATTAAGAGCTTAAGGAGTAAAGCCCATGCGGTTTTGAGTGTTGCTCTCTACTTGATTTCATTCTTTCTATACCTATGTAATTTTCAGCATAATCAAGCTATTGAACTTTTTTTTTTTAAGATTTATGTATTTAGAGAGAGACCGAGCATGCGCAGGGCCAGAGAGGGAGTGAGAGAATCTTGAGCAGACTGCCTGCTGAGCGTGGAACCCGATGCCCAACACGGGGTTTGATCCCATGACCCTAAGATCATGACCCCAGCCAAAATCAAGAGTCAGACACTTAACTGACTGAGCCACCCAGGTGCCCCAAGCTATAGAACATTTTTGTCAGCCCAGAAAATATGTTTGATCTTTGAAACAGAAATTTTAATTAAGTTTATACTGTTCAACAAGTGGGTTAAATAGGAACTTCTTTAGGGTTCTTTAGGATGTGACTTACATTATTCCACAATAACATTTTTATTAGCTTTTGGGTGATTAATTATCACATAGTTAAAATCCCCCGGGGGGAGGGGAATCCCCAGACTGCACTATAAAAGGCCCCCCAGATTGTGTTCATGATAAGAAAAGACACTTTGGTCAAATCTTTTTTTTTTTTTTTTAAGATTTTATTTATTTGACAGAGAGACACAGCGAGAGAGGGAACACAAGTAAGGGGAATGGGAGAGGGAGAAGCAGGCTTCTCGCGGAGCAGGGAGCCCGATGTGGGGCTCGATCCCAGGACCCTGGGATCATGACCTGAGCCAAAGGCAGACGCTTAATGACTAAGCCACCCAGGCGCCCCTGGTCAAATCTTTTTTTAATTTAGTGTGATATTATCTGGACTAAAACAGAAAATGAGCCATCTTGGATGGTGAAGATGCTGAGATTCATTCTTTCAAGGACTGAAATTTACTTTAATAATTGCATCAAAATCTTCCTAAAATATATATTTTCATGCCTCTTAATCAGATTACTGTTTGTTTAATATAGTTTAGCTCTTGTTAATTCAGTGCCATTGCACTGGATTATTCATACTCATCAGTTTTTATATTTTACGTTGATATCCCCATTGTCTGTCAGATTGTTTTAATTCTATTTGAATGACTTGGGTTTCTTTTAAACTTCTGGTTTTGCTTTTTATATTTTTTCTCCCATTGATAGAGACTTCTTATCCCTGTCAGTATGCTGGCCATGGGCATCCCTCACATATCGTTTTTGGTTTTGGTTTTTGTCTTTTTTCCTTGCACCTCCTTTTTAATGTAGTAACACCTATTTGATATAAACTTAAAAAGTCATCTACTGAGTGGCTTGCACAAGATGTCCTATTAGGGTGAGAGAAAAAATACTAAGAATTCCACAACTTTTTATCTCATTCTTTTTAATTTCTAATTTGTGTATGTTGGTTTTTTTTTTAAAGATTTTTATTTATTTGTCAGAGAGAGAGAGAGAGCACAAGCAGGGGGAGCAGCAGAGGGAGAGGGAGAAGCAGGCTCCTCACTGAGCAAGGAGCCTGATGTGGGACTTGATCCCAGGACCCTGGGATCATGACCTGAGCCGAAGGCAGATGATTAACGACTGAGCCACCCAGGCGTCTCTGTGTATGTTTTATAATGTATATAATATAACATCAGTACAGTAATACACTTTTACAACATACAGATAAATAGTCGGTTTCATGTGCAAAATTTTTTTTTTTACTGCTAGAGAGTATATGGTCAAAGAAGACGCCTAGGCTAGAAAACTGAAGTAATTTCTTTCCTAATTTCAGTTTCTTTTTCAGGAGCTCCTTTTTTCTTTCTTTGTATGGTAGCCTAATTTTTTCATGCATGCAGTATTCTTCTGTCTCAGAGAATGTTATTTATAGTTCTTTGTTGTTTTCTGCTGCTGTTACCTATGATCCCTTTATCTTTTAGATTTGTTGGGTTTTTTTGTTTGTTTGTTTTTTAAAGATTTTATTTATTTATTTATTTGAGAGAGAGAGAATGAGAGACAGAGAGCATGAGAGGGAGGAGGGTCAGAGGGAGAAGCAGACTCCCCGCTGAGCAGGGAGCCCGATGCGGGACTCGATCCCGGGACTCCAGGATCATGACCTGAGCCGAAGGCAGTCGCTTAACCAACTGAGCCACCCAGGCGCCCAGATTTGTTGTTTTTGTTTGGTCTCTCATAAGCTTATCTTAAAGGACTGATTATCCATGTTTGCCATTCATATTTGAATGAGCCCTAAAAAGCTAATTAGAACACCTGTGTAGGGCTTGTTCCTAGTGGATCCCTATAAGGGTTCTGCTGAGAGATTGCAGCCTGGTTGTTAGGATATTGGAGGTAAAAGAAAAGGAGGTGGGGTGGGGTTAAGAAGGAAACTTACTTTTAATTTCCATGATTTTATTCTAGCACCTCACCCCTCCTCTCTGCTTTGCCTTATGTCTAGACCTCTCCAGAGACTAAGCCTCATGTGTCCTGTCATGACTGAGGAGAGAGTTGTTGATGCTGCTCCTCTTTTCAGCTCCCCAGCCTTTTCTGAGGTGCTTCAGATTCCTGAGCCTTTACAGGACTCTGTAGGGCAGGTTGCTTGACTTTTCAACCATGACTCTAAACTGCCATCACATAGCAAAGCAGAGGAGGGGCAAACCTAAGGCATTTACCATTCCTCTGTTCCTTCTTACATTGTGCTCTTCTAGTTTCATCGCAGGTAGAGTTTGGTGTCTGTTTTTATTCTCTTTGTTTGAAGTAACTGTTAGGTTTAAAAAGCAGATTACAAAATAATCTGGACAACTCAGTTAACCAAGAACATACTTTTTTTTCTTTTAAAGATTTTATTTATTTATTTGACAGAGAGTTAGCGAGAACAGGAACACAAGGGGGGGGGGTGCGTGGGAGAGGGAGAAGCAGACTCCCCGCCAAGCAGGGAGCCCAATGTGAGGCTCGATCCCAGGACCCTGGGATCATGACATGAGCCGAAGGCAGACGCTTAATGGCTGAGCCACCCAGGCACCCCGAATATATTTAGTTTGGCCTCTTTTTTTGTTGTTTTTTTAACAGACTGTGTCTATATATGTATGTGTATGTGTGGTGTGTGTGTATATATATATAGAATGTACATATATATAAATAGAATGTACATTAAAAAGAATCTGGAAGTTTATATACCAAGATATTAATAGTAGTTATGTGGATGGTGAGTTGTTTGGCTTTTTTGTTTGTTTCATTTTTTGTAATGAGTATCTGTGGTTTTTATAATGATCCTTATTGTATAATAAGAAAAAAACATATTACAGAGTTCCTTGTGATTTTAATGATACTGAAACTTGTTTCTGCTCTTATTTTTCAGATTAACAAAATATATTGTGTTACTATGTTTCACTAAATTTTTGAAGGCTGTGGGACTTTTTGAATCATATGATCTCCTAAAAGCAGTTCACATTGTTCAGTTCATTTTTATATTAAAACTTGGGTGAGTGTCTGTGGTTCTTTTTTCCTTAATGTTTTATTTATTTGAAACTTCTGTTTTAACTGATTATCTTTAGGAAATTTTAGATAAAATATTTTGTGCTATTTATTCCTCCTTATACTATAATAGCGTGCCAAAACTAGACTTGTACTATAGTTTGTGTTAAAGAGGTTTTTGCACATTTCTTTTAATGTTCAGCTTAATAGAGGATTGCTGAATTTTCACGTCCGTTTCATCATTAAGTCTGTGCATCTCCTATCAGTTAGCCTCTGAAGAACTCCACTGTATACATCCCTGAAAGAGTAAGAGTGAAAAGGGCAGATAATTTCTTAGTATTTTCATAAAAATAGTTTTGACCCCACAGTCTCCCTAAAAGAGTCTCCAGGCCCTAGGAATTCCCAAACCATACCACTGGTGTAGTTCAGCCTTCCATCAGGCATAGAATGTAACCTGAGACTTGTCTTGGCACAGATGTTCCTTATTTTCTAAGTTAAACTGTGCTGGGCTTTGTTCATGATGTGCTCCCTTCACAGTACAGGGTCCTCATATAAAATAAATTTTATATTATTCTGCACATAGTAAGAAATTCTCTCTGAATAAAGTTTCTTTGGACTTGAGATTGATAGTGACCACTCTCTGTTAAAGACTCCAGGGAGTTAATTTTAGTAATTATGGAAAGTGATTCTTGACTAGGAAATTTTAAGTAATCAGTTGTATGCATTTTTATATAACCATTTTGGGAATGTGAAAGGTAAGGACATTCTTAATTTCTGTTATTTCAAGATTTGTTACTAAGTTCTGGAGAAGATAGGATTTTTTTTTTTTTTTTTTTTTTTGTATTTCAAAGTATGAAAAAATATTGAGACCCCTTTCTTTTGTGGCTTGTGAACTGGTTCTGAAGGCGTTACAAAATAAGAGTTCCCCGTATGTTCCAGTGGAAGCCTTAGAATAAATATTGTTCTCCAGTATAATTTGTTTAGATGGTAACATACCTTTCAAGTTGTAGTATGTTCATTTAAAGTATCTTTACTTAACATCACACTTTGTATATAAGATAGATTAATATTAATGTTTCCTTATTCACAGGACTGCATTTTTTATGGTTTTGTTTCAAAAGCCATTTTCTTCTGGGAAAAGTATTACCAAACACCAGGTGAGTTTTTTCCACAGTCCTTTTTTCCTAGCAGCTTTCCTAGTCATTAGGCCAGGAGAAGTGTTGATCAGAGTTACTTAAATGATTTAAGTACACAGCAGAACATTTCCATAGTTAAGTTGCTCTTGACTTGCTTTTCAGTATCAAGGCTTCAAGAATAAACTATAAAGTATTAAGATAACAATGTTTAAAAATGGAGAAGAGAGTAGAAAAATTTTAAGGTATAAAGTAAATTTTTTTTTAATGCAGGACTCTATTCTAAAGATTTCTAAATGTGACATGGAGACATGCCCAAAAGCCTAGGACAAATGTCATTAGGAGGCAGATAAAGCATAGGGGTTACTGAGGACTCTGGAGTCAGACAAATTCAGATTCTGTTTGTCCTCCTTATGAAGTCTTACTTTGAGCAAGTTACTAATTTTTCTCTACCTCAATTTTCTCACCTGTAAAATGGAGTTAATAATACCTTTGTAATGGAGCTGTGAGGAATGAATGAATTAATACATATAAAGTTCTTGAAATAGTGCCCAGCATATTGTCAGCAAACAATACGTATTAGCTGTCACCCTCATCATCATCATCATCATTTTCTTTAGGCACCTGAGGTTCAGGATGCATATAGAAATGTCCTGCATTCTGTATTGTCATCTCACATTATTACCTCTTTGGACAGTCGTTAGATCCTACTATATGTTTGCTTTGTGCAACAACTTAGAAAACTGTGCCATGACTTTTTATTAGAATGACAAATTTATGTACCTCTGTTTTAGAGACCATGCATGTTTTAAAAATAGGATTAATATTTTAATCCCCATCATAGCTTTTTTTCTCTCTTTTCAAGTAATTGAAGCTCTGAATATCTAATGGAAAAGAATTTAAAGACTAAAACATCACGTGTTCTAGCAAACTAGTGAGAAACTATTGAAAAAAACCCACAAATTTGTATTTTATAGAAAAAGATTTCAAGATCTAACAACAGACAAGAATATAGAAAATGGAAAACAATACTGTCTTACAAATCTAGATTTAGTCAAGGGATCTGCACATTTTCTATTTAAGTTCAAAATATGTGATTATTTTTTAAAATGTAATTACTTAGCCTTTAAAATATCTAAGTGCTACCATTATTTTCTTTCCCTGTATATTTTATTTAAGATTTTAAGATACTAGCAAAACATACGACTAAAATTTTTAATTTTTTGTTTCCATTCATAGTGGATCAAAATATTTAAACATGCAGTTGCTGGGTGTATCATTTCACTCTTGTGGTTTTTTGGCCTCACTCTTTGTGGACCACTAAGGTAAATAAAAATGCATATTTTGAATGTTTACTTATATTTCTTAATTTTGAATATTAGTTTTATTCCATTATATTTTATGTCAAGTATTTATGTTAAGTTATATACAAATGCTTCTCTCACTCCTATAGCATTGGATATAACTCAGTATTTGTTTATATGGGGCGGGCTGACAAAACCTCTTTAATTTGTGGACTATCTTTTGGTGAACACTGTAAATGTATTGTTCATGATCTGTTGTGATATTTTACTAGTTAAGAGTCCAAACAGTTTCAGAAAATTTTTAACATAGGTGGTTTTTTATCATCCATTGGTGATCCCTTTTAGCAACTGATTTTAGAAACTAAAAGGTCTGAAATGGTAAATAAAAACCAGTAGGAAAGCAAAATTTGGGGGGCACCTGGGTGGCTCAGTCAATTAAGTGTCTGCCTTCAGCTCAGGTCATGATCCCAGGGTCCTGGGATTGAGCCCCAAGTTGGGCTCTCTACTTACTGGGGAGCCTGCTTCTCCAACTCCCTCTGCCTGCCGCTCTGCCTGCTTATGCGCATGCTCTCTCTCTCTCTCTCAAATAAATAAATAAAATCTTGAGACACCTGGGTGGGTCAGTTGGTTAAGTATCTTCCTTCGGCTCAGGCCATGATCTCAGGGTCCTGGGATCAAGTCCCACATCGGGCTCCTGGCGCAGCGGAGAGTTTGCTTCTCCCTCTACCCTTTCCCCCTGCTCATGATCTCACACTCTCTTTATCTCTCTCTCTCACTCAAATAAATAAATAAAATCTTTTTTAAAAGAATTTCTTTCCTGTGAGATTGTATTTTGTTCTGTATGTTATTAAATCACTGTCCCAATGTGTTAGGGAAGAAAGGCGGAAAATTGTTAAATTCTTACTTGACTCCTTATTTAGTCTTATATTTCCCATCTTACAACCCGGCACTACCACCAGCTCCTCTGCCAACACTGCCCCTCTCATTCTTTTATTAAAACTATCAGGATGGGGCGCCTGGGTGGCTCAGTCGTTAAGCGTCTGCCTTTGGCTCAGGTCGTGATCCCAGGGTCCTGGGATCGAGCCCCACATCGGGCTCTCTGTTCAGCAGGGAGCCTGCTTCTCCCTCTCCCTCTGCCTGCTGCTCCCCCTGCTTGTGCTCTCTCTATCTCTCTGTCAAATAAATAAAATCTTTAAAAAAAAAACAATTAGGAGCCCCGGGGTGGCTCAGTTGGTTAAGTCTTCAACTCTTGATTTCAGCTCAGGCCATGATCTCAGGCTCCTGAGATCAAGCACTGCATTGGGCTCCATGCTCAGCATGGAGTCTGCTTGTACCTCTCCTTCTGCTCCTTCCCCCTCTTGTGCACTTTCTCTCTTAAATAAATTAATTAAATTAAATTTAAGAAACAAACAAAAACAGGGGCGCCTGGGTGGCTTAGTCGGTTAAGCAGCTGCCTTCGGCTCAGGTCATGATCTCAGGGTCCTGGGATCAAGCCCCGCATCCGGCTCCCTGCCCAGTGGAGAGCCTGCTTCTCCCTCTCCCTCTGCCAGCCACTCTGCCTACTTGTGCTCTCTCTCTCTGTGTCAAATAAATGAAATCTTTAAAAAAAAAAAAAAAAGCCATCATGCAGGGGTGCCTAGGTGGCTCGGTCAGTTAAGTATCTAACTCTTGATTTCGGCTCAAGTCTTGATGTCAGGGTCATGAGATCGAGCCCTCATCAGGCTCTGTGCTGGGTGTGGAGCCTGCTTGGGATTGTCTCTCTGTCCTTCTCCCTCTACCCCCCATCCCCATTTGCACAAGTGTGTGCTTGCTTTCTCTCAAAAAAGAAAAAAGGAATTGCGTGATTTTCTTTTTGAGGGAGGGGCAGAGGGAGAGAGAGAATCTTAAGTAGGCTCTCCACCCAGGTTGGAACTCCATGCTGGGCTCCATCTCACAACCCGGAGACCATGACCTGAGCCAAAATCAAGAGTCGGACACCTAACCAACTGAGCCACCCAGACGCCCCATGCAATTTCTTGATTAGAAAGACTCCTTCGGTGTTCCATAGCCTGTCTTATTTTAGGTTGGTATTACTTTGCTGATATATTTATTTTCTTAAATTGTATCTCGCAGTTATTAATAGAATTAAAGTTAGCACTGCTGTGTTCTGTTACAGATTTTTGAGTAAAGAGGAAAAATGAAAATTTTTTAAAAGAGCAGCTAAAAATCTTAATATTTAGATCCTATAAGCCCTGTTTTGGCTGGTATTAATGTTTTTCAGGTTTTTTTTTGGTTTTTAAGATTTTATTTATTTGTTACAGAGAGAGAGAGAGAGAAAGCACAAGCAGGGGAGGCGGCAGGCAGAGGGAGAAGCAGGGTGGGGAGCCCAATGCGGGACTTGATCCCAGGACCTTGGGATCATGACCTGAGCCAAATGCCGATACTTAGCCGACTGAGCCACCCAGGCGTCCCAGTTTTTTTTTTTTTTAATATTTCATACATATAAAAGAGTAAATATGAATGTTTAAATAATAATAAAGTGGGGGCACTTGGGTGGCTCAGCCAGTTAAGCGTCTGACTCTGTTTCGGCATAGGTCATGATCTCATGGGTCGTGGGATTGAGCCCCACATTGGGCTCCCTCTGCCCCTCCCTCTTCCTCTCTAAAAAAAAAAAAAAAAAAAAGGCGGGTTGTCTGCTTGAGTTTCCCTCTGTCCCTCCCCCCCACTCTCTTTTCTGTCTCTCTCTCAGTTAAATAAATAAATCTTCAAAAAAATAGTAATAATAAAGTGAACCTTCATGTATCTAACACCCAACCCCCAAAAATAAAACCTTACCAATACCTTTGAAGCCCTGTGTGCCACTCCTGACTGTGTCCCCATCTCGCCCTACCCTTGGGTATAATCAGCATCTTAAGGTTTGTTTTTCATTTTCTTGGTTTTCTTTATAGTGTTTTCACATAGTATCTATGTCTTTTATGTTTGTTTTTTTTAATGTTTAACTTTGCAAGTTTTTTACTTTGTATGAATAGAATTACATTGCATGCATGTTCTACAGCATACTTTTTCCATTTAATGTTATGTTTGAGACTTGCCCATATTGATGCATATAAGATATATATAGTTCATTCATTTTGATGGCAGTTTTTTGAAATAGGATTCATATACCATAACATTGATTCTTTTTATGTTAGTCCATTTGGGCTGCTATAACAAATACTGTATCGACTGGGTGGCACTTTTTTTTTTTCTTTTTTAAGATTTATTTATTTTAGAGAGAGAGCTTGCATGAGCAGGGGGAGGAACGGAGAGAGAAAGAGAGAAGCAGAGTCCCCACTGAGTGTGGAGCCTGACATGGGGCTCAATCCCAGGACCCTGAGATCATGACCCGAGCCAAAGTCAAGAATTGGAAGCTTAGGGGCGCCTGGGTGGCTCAGATGGTTAAGCGTTTGCCTTCGGCTCAGGTCACGATCCCAGAGTCCTGGGATCGAGCCCCGCATCAGGCTCGCTACTCAGCGGGGAGCCTGCTTCTCCCTTTCCTTCTCCTGCTCCCCCTGCTTGTGCTGTCTCGCTCTCTCTGTCAAATAAATAAATAAAATCTTAAAAAAAAAAAAAAAAGAAGAATTGGAAGCTTAACCAGCTGAGCCACCCAGGTGCCCCATAGACTGGGTGGCTTTTAAGCAACACAAATTTATTTCTTAGTTCTGGAGACTGGAAAGTCTAATATCAAGGTGAGGCAGACTGTCTGGTGAGGGACTGCTTCCTGGTTCATAGACAGCTATCTTTTCTCAATAACCTCACAGAGCAGAATGTGCAAAGAGAATACTCTTGTAGTCTTTTTTTATGAGGACTCTAATCTCACTCATGAAGGAGGGTTCCACCCTCATGACCTATGTACCCCAAAGGCCCCAATTTCCAAACACCATCACACTGGGGATTGGATTTAACATATGAATTTAGAGGGGACTCAAACATGCAGTCTGTACCAGATTTAAAGTGTACAATTCAGGGGCACCTAGGTGGCTCAGTTGGTTAAGTGTCTGCCTTCGGCTCAGGACATGATCCCAGGGTCATGGGATCAAGTCCTGCATAGGGCTCCTTGCTCAACGGGAAGCCTGCTTCTCCCTCTCCCTCTGCCTGCTGCTTCCCCTGCTTGTGCTCGCTCTCTGTGTCTCTCTCTCAAATAAATAAAATCTTTAAAAATAAATAAAACCATTCTCTTAAAAAATAAAAAGTGTACAATTCAGCATTTCTTAATATATTCATAGAATATCATTCATTTCTATTGTTGTACAATAGTCTATTGAATGGATATATTCTATATTATTTATTCCCTTACCAGTGACATTTAGGTTGGGGATACTGCAAACATAGCTGATAGGAGCAACCTTCTAAGTGTTTCCTCATACACATACACAAGAAATTGATTGATATAATCCTGCAAGTTGTACCATTTCAGGTTCTTTTTTTTCTTTTAATTAAATAAGCTCCACGCCCGACATGGGGCTTGAACTCACCATCGAGATCAGGAGTGGGGTGCTCTACCAACTGAGCCAGCCAAGTGCCCCTAGTCTCAGCCTTTCTGGGGTAGATAAGGCCAGAAGATAGATTATTCCAAAGCAGTTGTCCCTATTTATTTTTCTCAGTGTTTTATGAAATCAAGGGGAAATATTTATTTTCTCTTACTGTAGTTGAATTTATGCTTCTTGGTGAAGATCAGATATATTTTATGAATGATAATATTGTATTTTTATAGGACTTTGCTGCTATTTGAACACAGTGATATTGTTGTCATCTCACTACTCAGTGTTTTATTCACTAGTTCTGGAGGAGGACCAGCAAAGGTACAATTTTCTGTTATTAGACACTTGAAAATTGGAAGTTATACATGTAAAATATTATCCAAACCAATTAAATAAAAATCTTTACCATTTAAAAGAATGTAGGGGCTTTTTCTGTTAATTTTAACTTTTTCTTACAAACTTTTTTTTTTTAACTTTTTATTCTGAAATCATCAGATATTCGTAGGAGGTTGCAAAAATAGCACCAAGAGTGCCCTTCACTCAATTTCAATGGTAATTTCTTACCCAACTCAAGTAAATTATCAAAACCAAGAGATTGGGGCACGTGGGTGGCTCAGTCGTTAAGCGTCTGCCTTCGGCTCAGGTCATGATCCCAGGGTCCTGGGATCAAGCCTCGCATCAGGCTCCCTGCTCAGTGGGAAGCCTGCTTCTCCCTCTCCCACTCCCCCTGCGTGTGTTCCCTCTCTTACTGTGTTTGTCTGTCAAATAAATAAATAAAATCTTAAAAAACAAAACTAAGAAATTGACATTGGTATAATCCATAGACCTTATCAAGACACAGAACAGATTGATCACCACAAAGATCTCCATGGTGCTGTACTCAGGCCTCTTGCCCACCTCATTCTTTTTTTTTTTTTTTTTAAGATTTTATTTATTTATTTGACAGAAACACAGCGAGAGAAGGAACACAAGCAGGGGGAGTGGAAGAGGGAGAAGCAGGCCTCCCGCAGAGCAGGGAGCCCGATGCGGGGCTCGATCCCAGGACCCTGGGATCATGACCTGAGCCGAAGGCAGACGCTTAACGACTGAGCCACCCAGGCACCCCCGCCCACCTCATTCTTTACCCTTATTCATCAATTTTGGAAAACACCTAAGAACTTGTTATAAAGTCTGATGAATATCCAACATTTTGCCAACTAGGCCTTATTTATCTTAAGTAACTTAAGTATTATCCTTTTTTGGTAAATGAGTCAAGAATCTGCAATTCCAAATTTTTATACCTACAGTATTTCCTTTTTACCAAATTGCTTGCTGTGTATGATGCATTGTCCCAGTTATAGGGGAAAGGAGAAATAAAGACAAGTAAGATGTAGTAGTCCCTGTTCTAAAAGGAGCTGTTGCTCCCAAGTAATGGAGGCAGATGAATAAAATTAAGTGAACAAAATAACATGCCAGGTAGAGCAGAGAGACTACCCAACCCATAGATTTCAAATGGGATAATTAATATTAAAGCATATGCCACTGTTTCTTTCATCGCACTCATAGAGTACTCCAAAATAAATGTCAACTAGATTGAAGCATTTTGTGGATAAAAATAAATATATAGGGGCGCCTTGGTGGCTCAGTCATTAAGCGACTGCCTTCGGCTCAGGTCATGATCCCGGGGTCCTGGGATCGAGCCTCACGTCGGACTCCCCGCTCAGCGGGAAGCCTGCTTCTCCCTCTCCCACTCCCCCTGTTTGTGTTCCCTCTCTCACTGTGTCTCAGTCAAATAAATAAATAAAATCTTTAAAAAATAAAAAAATAAATATATATATAATATAAAATAGTCTCAATATAGTATAACAGTATGTAAAATGTATGTAAATATGCAACGTGCAATACAAATATATGTATAAAGTAATATATATAAATGTGATATACTATAATATGTAAAATAATATAAATAGAGCTATAAATGTGTGATAATATAAAAAACATCAATATATATAATATAAAATATAGATGGATAATTAACTACAAGCAAAGAACTCTGAGCATAAAAGCAATGGGAAAAAATCACAATGGGAAAACTCAGTACATTTGTACTTCATAATGATTATAAGTTTCTGTGTAACAGAAATCGTTGTGCAGACAACAACCAACAACAGAAAATTACCACAAATAAAAGTTTTACATTTCTTTCAAAATATAAATTAGTAAAGTCAGTTAAGAAAAATGCATAAGATTCTCAATAAAAATGAGCCAAGGGCAGCGAAAGACAACTCACAAAAGAAATACAAATGTTTTTAACACATTAAAAAAAAAATTGGGGAGCCCTTAGGTGGCATAGTCGGTTAAGCCTTGACTCTTTTTTTTTTTTTTTTTTTTTTTTAAAGATTTTATTTATCCATTTGAGACAGAGAGAATGAGAGACAGAGAACATGAGAGGGAGGAGGGTCAGAGGGAGAAGCAGACTCCCTGCCGAGCAGGGAGCCCGATGCGGGACTCGATCCCGGGACTCCAGGATCACGACCCGAGCCGAAGGCAGTTGCCTAACCAACTGAGCCACCCAGGCGCCCCTAAGCCTTGACTCTTGGTTTCAACTCAGGTCATTATCTCAGGGTCATGAGATTGAGCCCCCGTGTCGGCTCCTTGTTCAGTGTGGAGTCTGCTTGAGACTCCCTCTGCCCTTCCCCCCTTTCTCTCAAATAAATAAATCTTTTAAGAATATAATTTAAAATAAATAAAAATTTTGCTGCACTAATACTCAGAAGTTAGAATATAAATCGTGCATATCGTGCCCTTAGTGTCTGTAATGAATCTGGGCATCTATTCAGGACACAGCATGTTTTTTTTCTTGGTTATGACTGAAGCACTACAGAAGTTGCCCTCTTTAACAAAAGATTAAATTCTATTCTCCATATCTGGATATTGTTGATACTGTCATATTCTAATATAATGAAAATAATGAAATTTAAAATTGTGTGGTTTATGTGTACTGGCTTTTGTCAAGATATCCGTCTACCACACTAAGAGAATTTATCAAGTGTAGTGGTAATCATGTTAATGAATAGAATAGGAGTCTCACTTTAAATTTTAACTTTTACTTAATGAAAGTATGTGGCAGTATACCTGTAAATTTATAAATACAGAATGTATAATAATGCTATTTAGATGGCTTTTATACCCTAAATTCTGAAGTATTTGCATAAACTAGGCAGTATGTTTTTCCTGATTTTTTTTTGTCAAAATCCTTTCCTGGGATGAGAATATAAACTTATAAAAAATTCATCAGCTTTTAAATGCTCTACAGTTTTACTGGATATGAGAAATGACTTTGGGGGCGCCTGGGTGGCTCAGTCGTTAGGCTCGGTTCGTGATCCTAGAGTCCTGGGATTGAGCCCCCTGTCAGGTTCCCTGCTCAGCGGGAAGCCTGCTTCTCCATCTCCCACTCCTCCCCTGCTTGTGTTCCCTCTCTCGCTGTCTCTCTCTCTGTCAAATAAATAAATAAAATCTTTAAAAAAAAGAAGAGGGGCGCCTGGGTGGCTCAGTCTTAGTTAAGCGTCTTCCATGAGCTCAGGTCATGATCCAGGGGTCCTGGATCGAGCCCCACATAGGGCTCCCTGCTCAGTGGAGAGCCTGCCTCTCTCTCTCTTCCTCTGCTGCTCCCCCTGCTTGTGATAAATAAAATCTAAAAAAAAAAAAAAAATACTGCAAATTTATATTATATAATAGAAGGGCTTTACTGTGAGATGTTATTTTTTCTTTAAATATTTATATGAAAAACATTTTTCTTTAGCATTTGTATAGTCATGGTCTTAAAAGTCAACTCTTGAAATAGCCATCCTTGATAATATTTTCTTCATTTTCAGACAAGAGGGGCTGCTTTTTTCATTATTGCTGTGATCTGCCTATTGCTTTTCGACAATGATGATCTCATGGCTAAAATGGCTGAACACCGTATCCTTTTGCAATAGATTGGAGTAATTTAGTCTTGCAGAAAAATAGAAGACTGGCAGAATGGGACGAGAAGGAGGATTGAATTAAAATCAGTCATGAATGAAACTTCCATGGATTAATGTAGGTATTCAAATAATGAATAAATTTATTCTAAACTAAATATTTTATAGCATCTCCATCAATATCTTCTATAGGGACAGTGAAAGAATATTTCAGAATGTCCTGGTGCTTAAAAAAAAATTTTTTTTTTTATTTGCCAGTCAACAAAATCACTCTTTTGGCTCCCTTGTAATAAATTCAACGATTTAAATGCTCAATTTAGAAGTCAGTTGCAATTATTAAATACAAACTTCTTTGAAATTTAATGAAAAATCTTTGGCATCTTCTTGCCCGAAAGAAAAAAGCTGAAATTCCTTCACCTGGTAATCACTCTCTTGCTCTAAACTGTTATTTCTAGTTGAGCTTCCACTATTCTATAACCCCAGCTTTCCAGTCAAATATGTATACTCCTTTTCCTCTACAAACAGACATACCTTGTTCTTTCCTGTCCATACACCTTTGCCCACTCCATTTAGCTGACCTTAGAACACCAGTTTTGATTCTTCTGGTTACTTATACTGTCCTAAAGCCTGTCAGTTAACTAATTAATAGTTTACTTTGTTATAGTGAAAGAGAGTGGTGTGACTTTGCAGAATTCCAGGTTGCTTGTGATATGCCACCCCTGCCCCTTTCTCCTTGCTACTTGCTTTACCGAGGCTTATGTGGTCAGTGATTTAGAAACAGATTTAGGACTGATTTGACATGTTCTGAAAGAGCAACCTTAATTCCATGACAGTAGTGGTCCAAGAAGGTCCTTGCTCTTGTCCCTTTCTCCTACTTACAATGTGCATGCATATACTTTTGGAGGTTCACTACCAATATTTAACAACTATATCTCAAGCACTATTATAATTGTTTTGGAAACAACAAAAGAAATGCAGGCCATTCCAATTTGTAAATCATGTCCCAAAATTAAATTTTTAATTGTTTTGTTTTTAAGGGCAATAAACTGTTGCAAGTAGTCAGGTTTGGGGCCCCCAAACTAGTCTATAGTCAGCCTAAAATAATGTAGCTAAAATTTTAGGAGGACCTCAGGATTCAAAGAGTTAATATTTGGGATTTTTTTTTTCCTTTACTGCAACTCACTTAGCTGAAGGACATCATGACAGTGCTCTAACTCACATGCTTTACACAGCCATTGCCTTCTTAGGTGTGGCAGATCACAAGGTATGTTCTTTTCTTTATTCCTGACGAGATCAAGAGACTGTGAAAAGTTACAGCAACTGTAACTTTAAAAGTGCACTTAAAATAAGTTACCAGTAAAAAAAAAAAAAAAAAAAGTTACCAGTAATTTACAGTACTGCCTGACATTTAAGTAGTTCAGTAATTTGGCGTATGGAAGAAACCTAATAGCTCCATTTCTTCAAATATTATGTATTTAAGGATTGGGTATTGGACTGTGTGTTTCTAATGAAACTTATCTAATTTTACTCATAGGGTGGAGTATTGTTGCTAGTACTGGCTTCGTGTTGTAAAGTTGGTTTTCATACAGCTTCCAGAAAACTCTCTATAGATGTTGGTGGAGCCAAACGTCTTCAAGCTTTATCCCATCTTGTTTCTGTGCTTCTCTTGTGCCCCTGGGTCATTGTTCTTTCTATGACAACTGAGGTAAGAGTAGGAATTTATTGGTAATAAGTAAAATGAATTGCTCTTACTAAAAAATTTTAGGTCAGTACATTGTATTTTATTTCACTTTGAGCTTGCAAGAATCTTAAATTATCATTGCTTTTTTTATCATTTTTGAAAAATTTTGGAGTAAATTTATTGTTTATAGAGAATACAAATGAGGTACTATTACATTTGTATATTCATCCTATTCCTGTGGCCCAAAGGAATCAATTAAAGAAATATTTATTAATTTTAGAGAGAGAGAGAGAGAAAGAGTGAGCTGGGGAAGGGGCAGAGGGAAAGAGACAAGCCGACTCCGTGCTGAGTCCATTGCAGGGCTTGATCCCACAACCCTGAGATCATGCGTCGGATGCCTAACCAACTAGCCACCCAGACACTCCTAAAGAACCCGTTTTATAGTTATTGTGTGTTACAAGGATTGTGGGTCACCTAGTATTTATATAATTATTAAACCATAGTGCTTTTGCTTTCAATACTTTGGGGATTACTGGGAAATGTACTAATATTTTGCAGCTCTTATGTCTTGGCATTTTATGAATCATTGAGTTAGAATATTTGTTTAAATATAAAGGGATTAACTAAAACATAAGATGTGAACTTTATTCCGGTGTAGTACTAACTATTTTTTTCCTTTTTTTAATTTCTAGAGTAAAGTTGAGTCTTGGTTTTCTCTCATTATGCCTTTCACAACAGTTATCTTTTTTGTCATGATTCTGGATTTCTATGTCGATTCCATTTGTTCAGTCAAAATGGAAGTTTCCAAATGTGCCCGCTATGGATCCTTTCCCATTTTTATTAGTGCTCTACTTTTTGGAAATTTTTGGACACATCCAATAACAGACCAGCTTCGAGCTATGAACAAAGCAGCACACCAGGAAAGCACTGAACATGTCCTGTCTGGAGGAGTGGTAGTGAGCGCTATATTCTTCATTTTGTGTGAGCATTTTTCCCCTCGGGAAATTTCATCTCATGGATTCTGATGTTGAAATCATTTACTTAATTTGGGAATTTGTTTAGTGCTTGCATTTAGTGCTGAGAGATACCGTGTTGATTTTGGTAGCTTAAGCTTTTAAAACTTGTAATGTTGTTGCTGTTGTTTTCTCTTTTTTAAAAGCTGCCAACATCTTGTCATCTCCTTCCAAGAGAGGACAGAAAGGCACCCTAATTGGATATTCTCCTGAAGGAACACCTCTTTATAACTTCATGGGTGATGCTTTCCAGCATAGCTCCCAGTCAATCCCCAGGTTTATTAAGGAATCACTAAAACAGATTCTTGAGGAGAATGACTCTAGGCAGATCTTTTACTTCTTGTGCTTGAATCTGGTAAGATTTTTATATATTTGTGGCATATCTTAAAAGCTTAATCTTTTAATTTTGACAGTCTGGTATAATTCTCATAATTACCAAATTTCTGATACTTAGGGGCTAAAATTATATTTTCTCTCGGTGATAGGAGGATTACAGGATCATATTCAGACTACTTAAGCAAACAATTTTTGAGGCATTTTAGATTTTTATCTACTTCTTATAGGATCTCACCATAGACCAGGTTGCTAACATTTTATAGCCTAGTTTATTGAGTTCTACAGACATAAATGAAACTATTTCCTTTTAAATAATTTATAAGATGAACATATCTGATTCAGTGTAGTATCTTACAGTTTTGTTGTTGTTGTTTTTAAGATTTTATTTATTTGTCAGAGAGAGCACAAGCTGGGGGAGTGGCAGGCAGAGCAGGCAGGGGAGAATCAGGCTCCCAGCTGAGCAAGGAGCCCGATGCGGAACTTGATCCCAGTACCCTGGGATTATGACATGAGCCAAAGGCAGATGCTTAACCAACTGAGACACCCAGGTGTCCTTATCTTACAGTTTATATGAATTGAAATAAAGTGGCAGTATATCTTCAAGTAAGATTTGCATAATAAAAGGTTAAGGGGCGCCTGGGTGGCTCAGTTGGTTAAGCGCCTGCCTTCGGCTCAGGTCATGATCTCAGGGTCCTGGGATCGAGCCCCACATCGGTCTCCCTGCTCGGCGGGGAGCCTACTTCTCCCTCTCCCTATGCCTGTCCTTCCCCTGCTCGTGCTCGCTTGCTGCCTTTCTCTCTCTCTCTCTCTCTCTCTGTCAAATAAATAAAAAATCTTTAAAAAAAAAATTTTTTTAACTAAAAGGTTAAAATTCTCATGATTAAGTTCTGATAAATCTCTTGAAATCTCCTAACATATTCCTCCCGTTTTTCTTTAAATTTTTTTTAGCTTTTTACCTTTGTGGAATTATTCTATGGCGTGTTGACCAATAGTTTGGGTCTGATCTCAGATGGATTTCACATGCTGTTTGATTGCTCTGCTTTGGTCATGGGGCTTTTTGCGGCCCTGATGAGTAGATGGAAAGCAACTCGGATTTTCTCCTATGGGTAGGTACACTGACCATCAAGGTGATATAACACAATGAAAAAATCCTAGGGGCAAATTCCATCTTAGGGAATAAAATTTTATTCCTTTTAATACAAATAATTTTTCAGAGCCTTAGTTTTCTTTAAATTGAAGTAGATACGAGGAAATAAACCAAGCATATGATAAATAATAAATTGCAGTAAGCTCAAGATTATATTCCCTGACTAATTCCTCTTGTATGGAGAGAGCGAAAATCAGTTAGATTTTGAGCTCTTTGCCTAACAGTTTATTTGAGACAATGGAATGTGCATGGTCATTTGCATCTTTGCTGTTAGAGTATTCAAAATTTGAAGGGACTATGCATGAACATGAAATATCCCTTCATCAACTGAATAATTCAGTTCAACAAATGTTAGAATCCTTGATTTGTACAAAGAATTTTGATAAGACCTACCCTGAATGGATTGATAAATTCAGCTCTTTTCAGCTGTTAATATTTTGAAAGCTAGGTGAGCCAAAAATACAAATAATTTTGGTACAAAGCAAAATCTCTGGGCTGTGACAGAGGTACAGAGCCCATCAAAGGAGAGCCCATTAAAGGGAAAGAAGGAACTTCTTGCTAAGAAAGGCTTTGTGTAAGGGGAAACATTGAAGAAGGACTTAGATAAATATTTGTAATTGCAACAAACTTAAGTACAGAAAGACTCTTCCAGCATTAGTATGGTGTTTAAAATCTTGGTAATTTTCTGATCATATTATTTATATATGTAGTTGAAAATCTGGACTTATATCCTCTTTTTACTTTAAAAATATTTGTCATTTTCCTTTTCTAAAAATACATTCTACATTTTAGGTATGGCCGAATAGAAATTCTCTCTGGATTTATTAATGGACTTTTTCTAATGGTAATAGCTTTTTTTGTGTTTATGGAGTCAGTGGCTAGATTAATTGATCCTCCGGAATTAGACACACACATGTTAACAGTAAGTATTTTCCTGTTTGAATTTCTATTCATACCCCCTACAGCATTTTCCATGCTAAAGTTTAACTACTCATAGTTACTGATCTAGGAAGGTTTTGTTTTTTAATTTAAATTAACATAATTTCTTATCTTGTAATTATATTTATGCTGCTGACTCTTAGAAATTAATCCTTTTCTCTAATATTTTAGTCAGAATATTAGGTGACAGTCTATTTTTTTTAAAAAGATTTTATTTATTTGAGAGAGAGTGAGAGAGAGCATGAGAGGGGAGAGGGTCAGAGGGAGAAGCAGACTCCCCACTGAGTGGGGAGCCCGATGTGGGACTCAATCCTGGGACTCCAGGATCATGACCTGAGCTGAAGGCAGTCGCCCAACCAACTGAGCCACCCAGGCGCCCTTAGGTGACAGTCTAAAACATACAGATTTCTTTCTGACTTATTAAATGTTTTTGTGTGAAGATATGCTTTTTAAATACCTGAGGAAGGGGCACCTGGGTGGCTCAGTTGTTAAGCGTCTGCCTTTGGCTCAGGTCATGATCCCAGGGTCCTAGGATCGAGCCCCACATCGGGCTCCCTGCTCGGCAGGAAGCCTGCTTCTCCCTCTCCCACTCCCCCTGCTTGTGTTCCCTCTCTCGCTGTGTCTCTCTCTGTCAAATAAAATCTTTAAAAAATAAATAACTACCTGAGGAAATTTGCAAAATGATAGGGAAAGAATCAGAAAAATATTATCATTTTAAAGGCTTTACTTTGTTGATTGTACTACTGCTGTAGTAGTTTATAATGTTCTTCCTTTACCTCCAAACCTTTGCATGTGCTGTTTCTTGTAGTTGGCATGCCCTTCCCTCACATCTGCCTTTCAGCCTTTGTCAGGACTTTGCTTATATGTCTCTTCCAGTGAGATACTTTCCCTTAATCCCTCTCTTCCCTCCTCAAAGTTTGGTAGATTTCCCTTTCTCAGTATTCCTGTTGTATCTTGCCTTTTTTTTTTTTTTTTTTTTTTTTTTTAGCAACATTGAGTTATAACTCCTTTGTCTTTCTTCCACAATTAAAGATGTAAGTGAAGTATCTTCAGGACCTGAATTGTCTGTCATTAACTCTTAAACTCTAGGACCTGGCTTGTTAGTAGGAAATCAGCAATTAATTGTTGAATGACTGTAAGTTATAAATCTGGTTGCTGGAAGCTTATATTAGTAAAATGCTTTGGATTACAGTTTAGAAATATATTTTAAATTTTAAATGATTTTATCTTTTGATCTTTAATATTTATTACAGAAATACTTGGAAAAATATTTGCACAGGTGTGTAAAGGTGCATGATTCCTTGTGCCATTGTTCATAATGGTGAAAAAATGTCCACCAAGGACAAGACCGGTTAAATAAAGAAATAAAGCTGTCATTTGTAGGATACTGTACAGCCAATAAAAAGAATGAGGCATATCTGTATACACTGGCATGAAAAATACTGTACTAAGTTAAAAAAAAATTCCAAAGTAGCATTATAATATGATGCTATTATTGGTTTAAAAATGTGTTTATGTATGTATTTTAGTATGTGCATAGAAAGTACACCATTCTCTTAGTGACTAATTTTTGGGGGTTAGATTATAGGGAGCTTGCACTTTCTACGTTACTTTTTTCTGATGAAATCTATACAAATGAAGTATTTATCATTAGAGGAGAAATACTTGAGATGATGGGGTCTCTGTATGCAGTGTTTGATTTAATTCAAAATTCAGTAACCATTTTCAAGTTCTTCATAAAGCTAACTAAAATTTTAAAATCTGACAGATAAATGGTCTGAGCCTCAGTAAGAAGTGTATAATACATGTTTACTAAAGTAAATCTCTTGTCTTACAAACTTTGGAAATCAGGGGCGCCTGAGTGGCTCAGTCGTTAAGCGTCTGCCTTCGGCTTAGGTCATGATCCCAGAGTCCTGGGATCAAGCCCCACATAGGGCTCCCTGCTCTGTGGGAGGCCTGCTTCTCCCTCTCCCATTCCCCCTGCTTGTGTTCCCTCTCTTGCTATCTCTCTCTCTGTCAAATAAATAAATAAAATCTTTAAAAAAAATTAAAAAATAAACTTTGGAAATCAATTAGAATTATCTGTCCCCATTATTTTTATATATTATTTTTATAAATCAAGTGGATTTCTCTAAAGGAGAAATTTTAATATATGTAAATTAAGTAACACCCTGAACCATCCAAAATCATTTTGTAAGAGAGGATAATCAAGGGTAAGTAACTTTGTTTATCCTTTGGGGTGTTATGTGGCATTATTAAATCAAGATAATTCCATTCACTTTGTTTAAAAAAAAAAAAGGTGAAAGGTTACTATTATATGTTTGTTTTTCCATTACATGTTTTTTACTTTGGGAAATTTTACTATATTTTAAGAAACGCAATAAGATAATATGTATTTGTAATCCACTAGTTAGTAAATTATAATCATTGCCTTACAAACCGAAATAAAAATGAGATTTCAGCTACAGTGCATACTTGCTCTAGTAAGCAGTACTTTCAAACTTTATTTAAATAAAACAAAACTCTAGCATAACTTATTCATAAACCATGAACCAAGTACTTGTTCTTCACTTGATTAAAGCAAGCCCAAATTCCTCTACTTGTCAAAACTTTGCTATTTGAAAGTTAAAATGTTTCTTCTAAAATATTCTAAAATCTTTTTAAAAATTTTGGATTTCCTTACTGAACTTAGGTTTTACAAAAATACTTTGAAAACTGTAAACAGAAAAACATATTTAGATATATAGTAACTTTTAAATAACAAATGTACTTTTAAAATTACAAATTTAAAGGTTTTCTTTTCTCCTTTTACTAGCCAGTCTCAGTTGGAGGGCTGATAGTAAACCTTATTGGTATCTGTGCCTTTAGCCATGCCCATAACCATAACCATGGAGCTTCTCAGGGAAGCTGTCATTCATCTGATCACAGTCATTCCCACCATACGCATGGACACAGTGACCATGGGCATGGTCACAGCCACGGATCTGCAGGCAGAGGCATGAATGCTAACATGAGGGGTGAGTCCTTGCCAAATATTGCTCTACTTTTCAACTGTGTTCTGAATTGACGCTGTCTTATTTGTATTAAATATTAGGCTTCTGGTACAGTTGTATTTTTGAAAAACAGTCTGCTGCTAAAAAAATGTCTGAAGTCATCTGCTGTAGAAAATGCTCACATTTGTTCATAAATGTCAATTTTTAAATAGATTATTGTATTATAGAGTCTTTTTCATAGTAACATTTGCATGAATACTATTTGGAAGGGAAATACTGTGTCATTATGAACTTTCACTACAAAAGAACCAGGAAATTTTTATTGTACTGTAAAATATATAGGGGAATTATTTATCACTTATTGTGTTGAATTATTGTGATTGCTTAATTTGGATAACGTCAAAACTTGGCTCGTGTGATTTCTAGGAAAACCACACCATCATAAAACTCACCACTCTGTGCTATAGTTGCCTGTATCTTTCCCTTTTTACCACTGTGCTGTGAATTCTTTGAGAGCAGTGACCATGGTTTTTTTGTTTTTAAGTACTATCCCCTAGCAGAATTAGGTGCATAGTAGGTACCCAGTAATATTTATAAAATGGATAAAAGAACTAAATTAGATGTGCTTTAATTTTTAATGTTTTCATATTTTACTTGTAGGTGTATTTCTACATGTTTTGGCAGACACACTTGGCAGTATTGGTGTGATCGTATCCACAGTTCTTATAGAGCAGTTTGGATGGTTCATTGCTGATCCCCTCTGTTCTCTCTTTATTGCTGTATTAATATTTCTCAGTGTTGTTCCACTGATTAAAGATGCCTGTCAGGTTCTACTTTTGAGACTGCCACCAGAATATGAAAAAGAACTACATGTTGCTTTAGAAAAGGTACTGTGTGCAATTTCTTCACTGTATTTTTTCCTTTTAAAATAGAATTTGAAAATATAATAAATAAATAAAATAGCATTTGAAATCGAGTAAGTTGACCCAACTAGAAATGTGCAAAATATGAATTAAGAAAATACAGTTTTAGGACATAAAAAGGGGCACCTCGGTGGCTCAGTCGGTTAAGCATCTGACTCTTGATTTCAGCTCAGGTCATGGTTTCAGGGTCGTGAGATCAAGCCCTGCATCCGCATGGAGCCTGCCTAACATTCTCGGTTCCTCTCCCTCTGCCCACCCCCCCCCAACTTGTGTGTGCGCACACACTCTTTTTCAAAAATAAATGAATAAATAACATATAAAATAGGGAGTGAATAAATGGAGAGATTTTTCTTGGATGGGAAACTGTATTGTGAAGTTGTATTTCTTTCATTTAAATCTCAGTGCAGTTGCCTCTCCTGAGATTCTTTTCTTTTGGTTGTTTTTGTTTTGGGGGAGACTAGGTAATCCAGTATTACTTAGAAACTTATTTGGAAAAGTTAATGCTTGAGAATAAACAACAAAAAAAATACAAAAATTACAGAATTAACTAATAGGATCCCATTCCGTGATTATAAAGTTACAGAATTAACTAACACAACTAACAGTTTTATTCTTGCACAACAGTAAACACAAAAATCAATTTTTAGAAAATTGGTTGTGCAGAAACAGACCCAGGAATTTATGGAATTCAGTATGTAGCAAAGATGGCATTTCAGATCAGTGGGGAAAAAGGGTGGGCCTAATTAATATTTCCACTTGGTGGAAAAGAAAAGCTATATCTCTTTACCATCAAATATCAAAACATATTTCCAGTGGACTAAATATGTAAATGATAAAAAATAACAAAACTACTAAAATAAAATAGAAGAATATTTTTAGTATATTTCTCTACAGAGGTAGAGAAAGCCTTTTTTAATAAGCTTGAATTGAAACTAGAAGCCAAAGGGCACCTGGGTGGCTCAATTGTTTAAGCGTCTGTCTTCAGCTTGGGTGGTGATTTCAGGGTCCTGGGATCAAGCCCCTTGTCAGGCTCCCTGCTCAGGAGAGAGTCTGCCTCTCCCTCTGTGCCACCCCACCCCCACTCATGCTCATGCTCTCTCTCTCAAAAAAAAAATTTTTTTTTTTTTTTTTTAAAGAAAAAAAAGCAGGGGCGGGGGAAAGAAGGGGGTGCAGCACGTGGGTGGCTCAGTCAGTTAAGCATCTGCCTTCGGTTCAGGTCACGATCCCAGAGTCTTGGGCTCAAGCCCCACGTCACACTCCCTGCTCAGTGAGGGGCCTGCTTCTCCCTCTCTCTCTCTCTCTCTCTCTCTCAAATAAATAAAATCTTAAAAAACAAACAAAACCAAAAAAAAAAACACCTAGAAGCCAAAAAGGAAGGAAGAAAATCTAGAGATAAGAGCAATTTAAAATTATCGATCAGCAGAAGACTCCATTAACAAATAAATACAGATCGGGGTGCCTGGGTGGCTCAGTCAGTTAAGCGGCTGCCTTCGGCTTAGGTCATGATCCCAGGGTCCTGGGATCGAGCCCCACATCCGGCTCCCTGCTCAGTGGGAAGCCTGTTCCTCCCTCTCCCACTCCCCCTGCTTGTGTTTCCTCTCTCGCTGTGTCTCTCTCTGTCAAATAAATAAAATCTTTAAAAAAAAAACAAAAAACAGATCTTTTGCAGAGTGGACACCATGAGCAAAGCTCACCCACTCCCAAGTTGAAACAATTTATGGACCAGAAATTATCACTGAAATTAAATGGTGGCGGACACATCCAAGGAATATTGCAGGGGTTCAATCCCTTTGTCAATCTTGTGATACACGATGAATGTGTGGAAATGGCAACTAGTGGGCCACAGAACAAGATTGGAATGGTTGTAATATGAGGAAATGGTATCATGTTAGAAGTCTTGGAACGAGTATAAACAATGGGTGTGTACTCTGGAAGAAATCAACTGCTTCCACATGTCCTCTCTCCAAAGCACCTGTTTTACTACAATAGAAAAATCAGGTCATGTGCATTTTCATATTGAACTTTTTTGTTAAGTAAACTTTTGCAATAATCAGAATGCTTTCTCAGGCATTGTGAATGTAGAAAATTGAATATTAGCTCATATTCTAATTTTTTCTGACGTGAACTGCTCCTGTTTGAGACCAATTTGTTCCAAAGCTTTTATGCATTAATATAGAAGCAACTAATCAAATGTGAAGCATGGCAAGGATGCCTTTTTTCCATCTTTTAATGGAAAGATAAAGAACCTGCAAACCTGAGCAAGTTTCTTATGAAACATTAAATGTAATTTTCAAAACTCTTGTAATAGCTTTTGAACATAAATGGGGGAAAATATTTGAATACAGGAATAGAAATAGAACTCGGGAGAAAAAGAAAAGGCAGACAAGGGGAAAATATTTTCAGCACATATAAACAGGCAGAGACTTACTATCCAAAATAATTTTTTTAAATTAAGAAAAAGAGTCTTGGGGCACCTGGGTGGCTCAGTCGTTAAGCGTATGCCTTCGGCTCAGGTCATGATCCCAGGGTCCTGGGATTGAGCCCCGCATCGGACTTCCTGCTTAGCGGGAAGCCTGCTTCTCCCTTTCCCACTCCCCCTGCTTGTGTTTCCTCTTTTGCTCTGTCTCTCTCTCTCAAATAAATAAATAAAATATTTTTATAGTTTTTTTAAGATATTTATTTAAGAGAGAGAGAGTGAGAGAGAGCACGAGAGGAGAGAGGGTCAGAGGGAGAAGCAGACTCCCCGCCGAGCAGGGAGCCCTATGTGGGACTCGATCCTGGGACTCCAGGATCATGACCTGAGCCGAAGGCAGTCGCCCAACCAACCGAGCCACCCAGGCGCCCCTAAATAAATAAAATCTTAAAAAAAAAAAAAAAAGTCTTGTAGGAATATGGACTAAGAATATAAACCGGCAATTCATAGAAAAAACAAATACAAAATAAATGTTTTTCAGCTTGTGGTCTGCCATATCTTTTTTTTTTTTTTTTTTTTTAAGATTTTATATTTAAGGGGCGCCTGGGTGGCTCAGTTGGTTAAGTGCCTGCCTTTAGCTCAGGTCATGATCTCAGGGTCCTGAGATCGAGTCCCACATCAGGCTCCTTGCTCAGCAGGGAGTCTGCTTCTCCCTCTCCTCCCTACTTCTCTCTCACTCGCTTGCTCTCTCAAATAATATTTTTGTAAAAAAGATTTTATATTTAAGGGGCACCTGGGAGGCTCAGTTGGTTAAGCCTCCGACTCTTGATTTCAGTCAGGTCATAATCGCAGGTTCCTGGGATTGAGTCCCGCATCAGTCTGTGCACTCAGTGGGGAATCTGCTTAAGATTCTCTCTGCCTCTTCTGCCCCTCCCCGCACTAGTGTGTCCACTCTCTTGTTGTCTTGCTCTCTAAAATAAAATTTTTTTAGGGGCGCCTGGGTGACTCAGTTGGTTAAGCGACTGCCTTCGGCTCAGGTCATGATCCTGGAGTCCCGGGATCGAGTCCCGCATCGGGCTCCCTGCTCGGCAGGGAGTCTGCTTCTCCCTCTGACCTTCCTCCTTCTCATGCTCTCTGTCTCTCATTCTCTCTGTCTCAAATAAATAAATAAAATCTTTAAAAAATAATAATAAAATAAAATTTTTTTAGATTTTATTTATTTATTTGAGAGAGAGAGCACAAGCGGGTGGGGGGGAGGTGGGCAGAGGGAGAAGGAGGAGCAGACACCCAGTGAGCAGGGAGCCCAGTGTGGGGCTCGATCCCAGGACCCCGGGATCATGACCCGAGCCAAAGGCAGACACCCAACCAACTAAGCCACCCGGATGCCCAAAAATAAATAAATTTTTTTTAAATTTTATTTTTAAGTAATCTCTACACCCAGCGTGGGGCTCAAACCCACAACCCTGAGATCAAGAGTCACAGGTTTTACTGACTGAACCAGGCAAGCACCCCTCATTTTTTTTTAAGTAAGCTTTACCCCCAACATGGGGCTTGAACTCATGACCCTGAGAAAGAGAATTTGATTCCTTTTTTTTTCCTTTTTAAATAATCTACCCTCAACATGGGCCTCAAACTCACAACCCCAAGATCAAGAGTCACATGTTCTTTTTTTTTTTTTTTTAAGATTTTATTTATTTATTTGACAGAGAGAGACATAGTGAGAGCAGGAACACAAGCAGGAGGAGTAGGAGAGGGAGAAGCAGGCTTCCAGCGGAGCAGGGAACCCGATGTGGGACTCGATCCCAGGACCCTGGGATCATGACCTGAGCTGAAGACAGACGCTTAACGACTGAGCCACCCAGGCGCCCTTTTTTTTTTTTTTAAAAAAAGAGAGTACAAGCAGGGGGAGAAGTAGGGAGAGGGAGAAGCAGGATCCTGCTGAGCAAGGAGCCCCACACAGAGTTCAATCCCAGGACCCCGGGATCATGACCTGAACCAAAGGCAGACTCAACCAACTAAGCCAGCCAGACGCCCTTGCCATATCATATTAAATTAGGATCTACTGATGAAAAGTTGGTATCTTGACTATTTAAGGAATAACATCTTTACATTGTTTTCATAAATAAAATTAGTAAAGTTTTCTTACCTTCTTATTAGTGAATACTACATCCTACATCCTACTAAAAGGAAAAAAAAAAGTTTTATTTCAAAAATAAATTATGCCCATTCTGGAAAACTTCCAAAATATATTTTTTATTTTTTTTTGTTTTTATTTAAGTAATCTCTGCCACCAATGTGGAGCTTGAACTCACATGTTCTACCAGCTGAGCCAATGAGGTGCCCGTGGAAAGAAGCACTTTTAAAATGTGCTTTTCTATATTAAGATATTTTGAAAATAGGGGTGCCTGGGTGGCTCAGTTGGTTAGATGTCTGCCTTCAGCTCAGATCATGATCCCAGGGCACTGGGATCCAGCCCCAGCTCGGGGCTGCCTGCTCAGAGGAGACTCTTATCTCTCAAAAAAATAATAAATAAAATCTTTAGAAAAATTTTAAAAAGATTTGAAAATAAAAATGGTGAAAACTGTTTTGTACTGCTTTGTTAATTTTTCCCCATTTAGTTATGTCATGTTGATAAACACTCTCATACCTTTCTAATGAATGTAGTGTTACATTGTATGCAATATCTATTACTTAATCAGTTCATTGTTAAAACATAGAGGATAGGGCGCCTGGGTGGCTCAGTTGGTTAAGTAACTGCCTTTGGCTCAGGTCATGATCCTGGAGTCCCTGGATCGAGTCTCACATCAGGCTCCCTGCTCGGCAGGGAGTGTGCTTCTCCCTCTGACCCTCCCTCCTCTCATGTGCTCTCTCTCATTCTCTCTCTCCCAAATAAATAAATAAAACCTTTAAAAAAAAATCATTTAAAACATAGAGGAGGGCGCCTGGGTGGCTCAGATCGTTAAGCGTCTGCCTTCGGCTCAGGTCATGATTCCGGGGTCCTGGGATCGAGTCCCGCATTGGGCTCTCTGCTCCTTGGGAGCCTGCTTCTCCCTCTGCCTCTCTTTCTCTGTCTCTCATGAATAAATAAATAAAATCTTTAAAAAAAAAAAATTAAAAAAAAAATAAAACATAGAGGATATCTTTTGAACATGTTTATATAAACATTAATATGTGAATTGTGTATGAACGTGAGGAAACCAAGTAGTCCATTGAAAGTATCCAATGTTTAGAAAAGGCAAAGTACCTCTTAAAGAGGTGAAAATGGGTATGCAACTATTGAGTGTAAAGACACCTGTGACCCCCATTCATTTCCTCTTCAGAGCTGTCTTCCCTGACATCACTCCCAGTTCAAAATATTTTAGGCAACTTTACTTCAAATGAGTTGTCCCTTTCTTTTCTTACTTCTTTGCTCTCCTTATTATCTTTTTTAAAAATCAGCTTAATAGTGGTTTCTGGACCAAAAAGATTGCTTTGTGTTAAGTAAATTAGCCTTTTAAGTCCATTTACATCACCTCTCCTTTTATTTGACAGATACAGAAAATAGAAGGATTAATATCATACCGAGACCCTCATTTTTGGCGTCATTCAGCCAGTGTTGTGGCAGGAACAATTCATATACAGGTGACATCTGATGTGCTGGAACAAAGAATAGTACAGCAGGTGATAATCTTTTGTTTTTAAAGTAATTTCATTTGAGTTAATTCATGTATAAACTGGGACATATTATAAATCATACGGTTGAGTAATCATTTATTCAAAAATATCAATCTTTTAGCTGTCCAAGGATAATATAACTTATTTTTTATATCTAGATTTGTTTTCTACCCCAAAATGGTTAAAATAAAATTAAGTTTTAGTATTTAGATGACAAGTTTAAGTGAATGTAATAAAGTTTACTTATGATCCACCTTGGCTCCCAATCGATTATCCAGAAATAAATTATTATAAATACAGATCTAGATTAATAATAATCACAGTCAAGCTGGCAGCGTATAACACTGTGATTGGAGGCAAGGATCAAAGCAGTTCCTATATTCCTATTCTAAACCTACCATATTGGAAACAAAAGCTGTTTCCCTTTTCAACTTTGAATGTCAGGTCAGTAATTTACTGGCCATCTAAAGGATTATAGCTTATATTTGACCAAGTAAATAAATAATAAATATTACTTTGAGGGTTATCTTTGACTGTCTGTGGCTATGAAACACCTGATAGGTAATACCAGTTATTTAAGACATACACTAAATGTATTAATCTAAATGCTTTAAAATGTATGGGTTTTGATAACAGGTTACGGGAATACTTAAAGATGCTGGAGTAAACAATTTAACAATTCAAGTGGAAAAAGAGGCATACTTTCAACATATGTCTGGCCTAAGTACTGGATTTCAAGATGTTCTAGCTATCACAAAACAAATGGAGTCCATGAAATACTACAAAGATGGTACTTACATCATGTGAGATAACTCGAGAATTACCTCTGGGGTATGAACAATGAAGACTAAATTACTCGGTATTTATAATACTGCCAGAAGGAAGAAAATTGCACATAATTGTACAGAAGCATTTGCTGTATTTGAAAAAAATTCTGAAGTTCCCTACTATTGGATCAAGGAATCTTTCTTAAAGGATATTTAAATACAGAATGAAGCATTAATTGTACAAGTCAAATAATTACTTGAATTATGTGTATAACAGGAATCTTAAAATTTGAGTGAACATGATGTATCACATCATCTTCAAAAATGAACATATAATGATGGATTCTAGTGAAGACCAAAATTACTTCTGTGTGTTTACTTTCTGTCAGAAAGCATCTCCATTGTAAATAATGTATTTACATGTTTATTACAAAGACCCAAATGAAAAATTTTTAGTCAATTTTTTGCATAGCCCTAGGATAAAATAGGAATTAAAGTTCTATATTTATGGAGTTTCTGTATATAAAACTGGTTTCTAATTATAACTTAAATCCATTAAGTAAAAGCTGTATTGCCACTTTCAATGTAAACTAAATTATTTGAGAAAAAACAACCACTGAAATGAGATAAGCAGTGAGAATAGGGAAGTTTAACATTATTGATGTATTACAAAAACCAACCACTCTGTAAAATAAATTTTTTTACTTTTGGTAATATTTGCAAATGAATAATTACTTTATTAGGGTAAAGAACTTATACTAAGTTGTGTGCATGTTATTCAATCACTTGTCTTCTTCCTCTGAAGTAGAATATTCCATTTCTTGTTATGAATCTCCCATTCCAAGTTGCTTGTGAGGCTGGTATCCAAACAGTGAGAGGGTTCTCATCTTTTCATTTAGCTCCATATTTTGTGGAACAACCAGTTGAGAGAATCATAAATAATGTCAACTCACATTTGAATTTTCTGCCTTTAAACATAACGTTTTTTTTAAGTTTCTGGAACATGTACGTCTATAAGAAGTATCAAAGAATAGGTAGTTAGTTTAGTAAGTAAATCTTGTCCGTAAGTTCTTGGGCACCATGAAATCAAAATATCTACCCTGTAACTACTTTCTATAGCAATATCTAATTTATATTTTTTCATTTCCAATTTAAACTGAATGTATAGTCTGAAAAAACTGTATGATAAATAGATCTATAATAATATGCAGCTTTATGAACACCAAAGAATGTTGTTCAAAAGAAATTTTTGAATACCTGTTTATAAGCATTTGAATATTTTCATTCTTACAATAGGAATTTTGATAAGCAGGATGAATTAATTTTAGTATGGGTACTATTTTTTTAACTATACCATAACAGCAAACATGTATTGTAAATCATATTTTTATCTTAACAATTATAATATGTGAGAGGTTTTAGAAATTTGTTATAAGTTATTTTGATATTCTTTGTCTTATCTTTACACATTTTCTGGTCCAGAATCTTCAATACATAATTAAAATTTTTGAGTGGTGGGAAAATAATTGCATATTGATGTTTTAATGCAATTTTGGTATGTTAAAAAAATTTTTAAGTAGATAGGTACAATAAATATTGCATCATTGTTAAAGTTGTCATTTCCTAGGAGGCATACAACAGCAGAAAAATTACTCTAATGAGAGATAAGGTGAGACATAGGGCAGGGGCTGAAGGGGATGCAGATCGGAAGTAGGGAAACCAGTATTAAAAGCACCAGGGTATGGGGCGCCTGGGTGGCTCAGTCGTTGGGCATCTGCCTTTGGCTCAGGTCATGATCCCGGGATCCTGGGATCGAGTCCCACGTCGGGCTCCCTGCTCAGCGGGAAGCCTGCTTCTCCCTCTCCCACTCCCCCTGCTTGTGTTCCCTCTCTCGCTATCTCTCTCTCTGTCAAATAAATAAATTTTAAAAATCTTTAAAAAAAAAAAAAAGCACCAGGGTATGGTTTCTAGCTCATACAAACATTGTGACTTTAGGCAAATCATGTTCTCTGGGTATCTTTTTTTTCCCCTTGTACATAAAACCAGAATAAAATTTGCTTAAGTTTATAGGGTTATGAGGAGCAAAAGGAATAATGTATGTGAAATGAATTGAAAAAAAATTTTCTTAATGAATTGAAAGTTGAAAAGGACTCAATAAAATTGAGGAATTGTTATTCTAAACGTGCCTGCAAAGGTAGCTTTCATTAATTTGTCTATTTTTTTCTATTAAAATCAGCATCCCAAGATATAAACTATATTTTAAAGTTCAAAATAATACCGCAGTGGCCTTTTTAACAGTTCATTTACCCCAAGAAGGGTGGTGGTGGTTGTTTACCATACTTACTAATTTCTCTCCTCTTCCTTTTTTTCTCCAGCCATTGTTTTTCCCATATTACCAATTTAGGAAAGCACGTGATTTCCACTTAGAATTAACTTTAGGGGTGCCTCAGTCAGTTAAGCGGCTGCCTTTGGCTCAGGTCATGATCTCAGGGTCCTGGGATCGAGCCCTGCATCGGGCTCTCCGCTCAGCAGCGAGTCTGCTTCTCCCTCTCCCTCTGTGATCTCTCTTGCTTTCACTCTCTCTCAAATAAATAAAATCTTAAAAAAAGAATTAACTTTACATCTGTTATAATATAGATTTATTATTCTTTTTAGATAATAATTGATCAGACTTTAAACTTTCCTAATTTCAGTAGGATAATGAAGCTAGGGATGCCTGGGTGGCTCAGTCGGTTAAGCATCTGCCTTCGGCTCAGGTCGTGATTCCAGGGTCCTGGGATCGAGTCCCACATCAGGCTCCCTGCTCTGTGGGAAGCCTGCTTCTCCCTCTGCCTGCTGCTCCCCCTGCTTGAGGTCTCTCTCTCTCTCTGACAGACAAATAAATAAAATCTTTAAAAAAAAAATAATAATGAAGCTAGTTATAATTAGATATCTCTAAGGGTTCTGGTTTTCCTTTAAATTTAGATTATGATTCTCCCCTAAGATACTTATTATATCAATGCAGAGATACTTGTTTTTACTAGTTAATGGTCACATGGTTCAGAATTTAAGAATAAATGGTGGGGCGCCTGGGTGGCTCAGTCGTTAAGCATCTGCCTTCGGCTCAGGTCATGATCCCGGGGTCCTGGGATCAAGCCCCGCATCAGGCTTCCTGCTCTGCGGGAAGCCTGCTTCTCCCTGTCCCACTCCCCCTGCTTGTGTTCCCTCTCTCGCTGTCTGTCTCTCTCTCTATCAAATAAATAAATTAAAGAAAATCTTAAGAATAAATGGCAAAAAGCTTTACACCCCTGTCACTCAGATACACAGCTCTCCTCTCTAGAAATTACCACACTTGTCAGTTTATAGTATATCCTTACAGATATCTTATGAATATACAAATACATGTATGTATTATTTTTCACTTAGAAATTATTCCAAACATTAAAAAGTAGCCTTAGCTGCAAAGTAACCCTATTGATGCAGTTTTTAGGTTGGTTCCAATGTCTTGCTATTATAGACTGCTGATACGAACAGCTTTGCACAAATACTATTTTGCATATGTGCAAATAAATATGTAGAATATATTCCAGCATGCAGAATTTTAAAATCAAAGGATTTAGGGCATTTATAAATTTGAAAAATACACTAAATTGTACTGTATAGAGATTGTAACAGTTTACCTCCCCTCAGCAATGTTAGATGTCTTAAAATATTTTAAGACGGCACTTGGCTGACTTACTCAGTAGGGCATGTAACTCTTGATCTCAGGGTGGTGAATTCAAGCCCCATGTTGGGCATAGAGATTACTTAAATATATAGAAAAATAGATAAGTAAAGCTCACATAATAAAAATTCTTTAAAGATTTTATTATTTATTAGAGTGAGCACAAGCAGGGGTAGCGGCAGGCAGAGGGAGAGGGAGAAGCAGGCTCCCTGCTGAGCAGGGAGCCCAATGTGGGGCTCCATCCCAGGATCATGACCTGAGCCAAAGGCAACCACTTAACCTATTGAGCCACCCAAGCACCCCTCACATAATAAAAATTCTATCAGAACTTTTTTAATTTTTAAGACAAATTCTTAAAATTTAAGAATTTTAAGGCAAACATTTCTTTATAGCCTTAATTCATATGCAAGTTAAATATGCAGAGATTATACATAGGTGCTAAACTGAGTTCAGTTATAAAATTTTTTTTTAAAGATTTCATTTATTTATTTGAGAGAGAGAATGAGATAGAGAGCAGGAGAGGGGGGAGGGTCAGGGGGAGAAGCAGACTCCCTGCTGAGCAGGGAGCCCGACGTGGGACTCGATCCCGGGACTCCAGGATCATAACCTGAGCCGAAGGCAGTCGCTTAGCAACTGAGCCACCCAGGCACCCCTGAGTTCAGTTATAAAACCACTAATGTTCATTTCATTTTTAGAGTGATTTTCAGAAGGAAAATTTTCTAGTAAATAATGTTGGTAAAATTAGATTTTTTAATCAAAAATTTTTCTGTGCTTTGTCTATCCACAGTATGGTTTCTGAGACAGATGATGAATATTTTCTGCATATACAAATATGGTATTCTGTTACATTTTTTTCTTCTCTATTTTGTTGAGGTACACTAAGGTACACAATGAAATACATTTTAAGTGCTCAGTTCAGTGAAGTGAGGATATGGAGCAACTGGAACTCAGTGCAAGTGGGAGAATGAAATGATACAGCCACTTCGGAGAACTGTTTGCATTTCTTTGAAAGTTAAACATACATCTACCCTGTGACCCAGCAGTTCTGCTGCTAGATCTTTACTCAAGTTTACCCAAGGAATGGAAAGGTGTGTCACAAAAAAACTTGTACAAGAATGTACATAATCATGATAACCAAAAACCAGAAACAACCCAAATACCCATCAACAAGAAGATGGATAAATAAATTATAATGTATTCATTATGGAACAGTACTCAGCAGTTTAAAAAAAAATTACTGTTTCAAAAATAGAGGTAAATCTCAAAAATACTATGTCAAGTGAAAGCAGCCAGACTCAAAAGAGTTCATACTTTATGATTACATGTACTTGAAATGCAAAAACAAAGACGATAGTGATAGAGCACAGGAAATGGTTTATATTCTCTATTGCTGTCATAACAAATTAGCACGAACTTAGATGTTTAACACTAACTGTCTTACAGTCTGATATGGGTCTCACTGGGCTAAAATCAAGGTGCTGCAGGACTGTTTCTTCCAGAAGCTCTGGGAGAGAATCGATTTCCTTGCTAATTCAGGTGGGTGGCCGAATTAAGTGTTTGTGGTTGTAGGACTGAGGCCCCTGTTTCATTGTTCATGTTCCCAGCTTCTAGAGGCCACCTGTATTCCTTGGCTTCCTCCATCTTCACAGCCAGCAACGGTGGGTCATGTGGTCCTCACACCTCAAATCTCCTGTTTCTTTCCCCACTGTTATATCTTCTTCTGACCTATTTTTCTGCTCTCCTCTTCTACTTTTAAGGACTCATGGGGTTACACCAGGCCCATCCAGGTAATCCAAAATAATCTCCCTATCTCGAGGTCTTCAAAGTCCCTTTTGCCATGTAACATATTCAAAGGTATATTCATATTCTCAGGTTGTAGGCATTCTGGCAAGGACATCTTGAGGGGGAGTGGCTCATTATTCTGCCTACTACATGGTTGCCTTGGGGAGATGGAATTTGTCTCCCCAGGGGCATAGTTTTGAAGTGATGGGAATGTTCTATATCTGC